TGTTGGACATAGGACAAAATGAATTATCAGGATCCATGCCTCCATGGATAGGGCAGAGCCTTTCTAAATTGCAACTTCTTAGCTTGACAAACAACCACTTCTATGGAAATTTGCCACTATATTTTTGTCATATGGCAACCATTCAAGTCTTAGATCTCTCACTGAATAATTTATCTGGGCAAATACCAAGATGCCTCCAAAATTTCATTGCAATGACTCAGAAACCTAGCATCATTGAGGGTGTTGATGAATACTATGTCCTTTATAATGGTTCCGCCTTGTATAGACTTTGGTATGATTTTTATCTTTTCATAAAATGGAAAGGAAACGAATTGCCATTCAAAAATAATAGAAGAATTTTGAAGTTGATTGATCTCTCTAATAATCGACTAGTTGGGAAAATTCCAAAAGAAATAAGAAGTCTCTTAGAACTAGTATCTTTAGATTTATCAGATAACAATTTAAGTGGTGAAATCCCTTGGGAACTTGGAAAGTTGCATGCCCTTGATTTTCTTGATTAATCAAGAAACCATTTGTTTGGAAGAATCCCTTCAAGTCTTTCTAAAATTGATAGACTTGCTATCTTAAATTTATCCAATAATAACTTGTTTGGAAAAATTCCATTGGGAACATAGCTCTAAAGTTTTGATGCTTCTGTGTATGAAGGAAATAATCTCTGTGGTAATCCACTTAAAAACCTTTGTCTTGGAGAAAAAAAATTAGAAGGCCCTGCAACTATCAAGAAACCTGAAGAAGAGCAAGATGATACCTTTTGAGCCGAGGATTTTACATAAGCATGGGATTAGGATTTGCCACTGGATTTTGGCCCATCTCTGGCTCCTTGCTTTTGTTCTGTTCATGGAGGCATGCCTATTTCAATTTCCTATATGCTTTGTATGACAAGATTGTTGTGCTCACAATCATCAATAATGTAGCAAGATGTCATAGGTTACATAAATAATGACTGGTAATCTCCTCTCTTTTCACTCTTCTCTTCCCATTTTTCCTAGTCAGTTTAATCATGAAATTGAGGCAAATTAAATTGAACAGCTCAAATTAATATGGAAATTTTTATTGTGATCAGCAACATGATGAGAGGAGCCCAACTGTACGAAGCTCGAATGTTTTGCATTTTGGTGGTGGGTTGATCTTCAGAGAGGCAATTTGCTGTAGAAGCATATGTGTAAAGTGCAATGGGATTATGCTAGCTGCCTTATAATAAAGTATCCATGTGGTCATGTTAATTAAATTAACTACTGCTGCAATTTTCGTTTTTTTGCTTAATGAAACTTATTCTTGGATGAAACTGCTTTCATCTTGTTTTACATCATTACCTATTATGATGTTAATTAGGCATTGCGAAACTAGTTTTTTTCTTTTCATCTATACATGTATTGAATGACGATATGATTACAGAACTAGTTCCCCCCACCCTTTTTCTTTCTTTCTAACTGTGAAACTTGTCTTTCTTGATATATTTAATATTCTCACGGCATGCAAGAGGTAATTTGCAAATTTAAGCTGAAGCATTGAACACAAACAATCTTTTATTTTTCAAATACTCCTGAACAATTTGTCCAAATTGAATTTAAATTGCCAAAAGGCTTGTAGTCTAATAGCATGTAAGCTCCACTGAAAGTGGCAGGCTCAATCCCTTATAATTTCCGACAATAAGTGCTGCTCCACTAATTCAAAAAAATATTGAATTTAAATTGAACTTTTATAGGTAGGCCCATGGAAGTGATGTAAATGGGCCTCCGTTTGAGAAGGCTTGTCTTTGAGAATAGGCCCAAGATGCCATAGTGAGTTAAAAGTAGCCCAAAATATATAAGCTTCCTCTGACTCGACTGCTCTAGGCGACGAGGCCCAGCTCCACTCTCCAAAGCATTTCCCACGCAGTCACGCCTGCCCTGTTTTTTTTTTTTTTTTTTTAGTTGAAATGAACACAGACACTTTTCTGTCTAGAATGTGTGATTTCTTCAAGTGTGAGAGTTTCATGTTGGATCTTGTATTAGTTAATTGAAATCAAATATTAGTGTTAATTTGTCATGGATCATATAATTTCCTACAAACCATAAAGGGTCTTTGAACAGTTTTGAAATAGCGTTGGAGCTTGTTTTTCATCACCTTTTCATGTTTTAATCAAACAATTGCTGAAGTCGTGTAAATTTTTTTTCGGGTCGTGTCTGGTTTCATAACCTTGCGCGTAGTTTAATTTATACTTTTTTTCAAAAAATAAGAAGAAGAAGTTAATTTAAAAATTTTTATTTTAAAATATAAAAACTGAAATCATAACATGCAACATATGATTGACAATCACATTTTCTGATCTGATGCTTTTATAAACTTTTTTTTTAAGGAAATGCATTGGGAAAATAAACGCTAATGAAATGTGACATCATGATTCATCATGGCAATCATGCGTAGCAAAAGCCAAAGAGAAGGAGAAAGAAAGCGAAAATGATAAAAGCAGACACTTAAAAAATAAAATGACACAATTGGTTCTCATTGTCAGTTTGTGATTAATTCTTTTATTGTGTTTCCTTCAAAGTCCAACCAAGTTGGTGTACCCTCTTTTTCTTTTATTTAATTTTCATTACTTTGTTCATAAAATTATCTAAACAAAAGATATGTGATTCTCCCCCATGGGTTAGTAAACTAATTAATAAATACCACATGCAACAAAGATGCTTATTTTTAAAAATAATGAGCTTGTCACGACATAGGTCCACAACTGCATGTCCTATTTTTAATTGTTCTTATGATTTATTTTATTATTGTCTTCATCCAAAGTGATCCCTCACAATCACATTTGTTTTTCTTTTTAATTTCAGTTTAAACAAATTGACATTAATATAAATAATCTGATGACCTCCATTGCCTTGTTCTAAATATAAATATCTTACCCTTTTCAATTTTATCAAAGATTCAAAAGAAATTCATCATTAAAAGTAATAAAATTACATCTGAAGCGTAAATAAATTCCGTAGTAATAAAAAAAGTATAATTTCCCAGATCCTTCACCGGGACAATGAAAGCCTGAAATCTCATGAGATTTTCAAGAATGTTCAATTGAAAGATTAATTAATAATTAAAAACTAGAGAAAACACGTAGATATACTGATAAATCCACTTTTTTTCCCCCGTTTGATCGGCAGATAATCCCACCTCAAGATGAAAATAAAAAATATTCACAAACAGGAGGATTGCAAGAAAATAAAAAACACTTTATTGATATTGACAAGTGAAGTGCACAAATATTCATTAGTGATATGACAGAATAAACATGTGCGCCATGAAATGAAACACCCAACAGAATGAGGACAAAAACTCACCCTGCCACGGCAACTCGCTCCAGAATGAACGCATATCATATTTACTCCGACCGATTTTATTTATCAATTATTTTTATTAACATAGATATAATAAAAATATAAGAAATAAAAATAAATAAAATTTTAAATATAAATTTCATATAAAAAATAAAAAAATATAATAAAATATTATTTTTCATGTCTTTTTTCCTCTTACTTTTTAAGAATAGTTTAAAAATTTTAATTTAAAATAAAACAATTATATTAATTAATGATTTATAAAGTAGATTAAATTATTCTTTTAAAAGATGACTAATATACAAAGTCGAAGGAGTAATTCATAAGATATATAAATATAAATAAAAATACCATGAGAATTGTTTTCAAAGAAAAATAAGAAAAATTATTCAGTAACAATAACAAATAAAAAGTATTTATTTAATTTCAAGGATAAGAAAAACAAAAGCTTTTATACTGGGGCAAAGGAAGGGACCTAACTTAAATTTTGTTAGTATTACTCCTAGGTTTTTTTATAAATTATTTTTATTAATTTCATCAATACCAATATAAAAAAATATAAAGAATAAAAACATGTAGAATTTTAAATATAGTCCTATATAATAAATTTAAAAAGTAATATTATGTTAGTTTTTCTTGCTCATGAAGGTAATTTTGTAAATATTTTTTAAATATTACTTAAAAAACTGTACCATAAATGAGACTAAATGAACTATCTAGAATGTGACTCATAAATGGGATTGGAGGGAGTATATAGTAAATGCTACATATTACTAGCCTCCCAAAAGTTTATAAAAATTTTGCAATACATATATTTCCTCCGTTTCACATTATGATACACTTTTAGTAAAATCTTATACACCAATAAATCTCATTAAATATATTTAATAACTTATTTTTTTAAAATAAAAATATAAACTTTTAAAAATATTCTTTATTTAATAACTTTAAATCTACAGGTAATTAATATTAAATAAAGAGAGATAAAGGGTAATATTAGATTAAGCTTATTTAATAAAATATTATTATTCTCAAAATATTTTATATTTTGAGATGATAAATTACTTCTAAAAATATCTCATAAGACGGAGGGAGTATTTTATAATTTCAACCCTTATTGTTCAACAGAAGATCCCCCTACTAGTAAGCTATGAATCCATTTTTCACATTCATATATTTATATCTAAAAATGAATAAAAAATTGATTTGTTACCAAGTCATGTTATTTTTGTTAAGTTAATATATCCTAATAAAATAATTTTAATTTAAAAAATATGCAACCAGAAGAAATTTTAATTTTTTTTGTAAGCTAAAAACTTTTAAAAAATAGAAATAAAAATGAATGAAATTGAGAATTTCAAGTCTCCAACAAACTCAATATACAATAGTATTTCCATGAGGAGTGGTTATGGATGGCAGATCCAATCATGGATGGAATACATGATATAAAAAATCAGAAACGAACAAAAGCTTTGGTCTGAAGTTACCTTTTTCATTAGCTTCCTCAACATTTTATACTGTCCCTTTTATATTCTCTTCTGATCTGTGATTTGATTTGAGACCGAGGTCCAAAGCACCGAGAAATAAAGACTAGCTAAAGCCAAGGGAGACGCTCGCGGCTTGTTATTCCAAACACCAGCTTCACTAATTCAGCTTCTCCTCCTCTTCCACCCCCTCCCCCCCCCCCCCCCTCTCTCTCCAATTACCCCATACTTACTCCTTCCTTCGCCTCTTGCTCTGATACTTCATTTCAAAACCCTAGTTCTTTTTCCAATTTCTGAGCCCACGTCAAATGGGTTTTCGTTTGTGAAGGTTTTTAATAACAGTGGATTTTAATCTGACCGCATTTATGCTTTTGTAAAGAATTTCTACCTCTATATATTTTAGTTTAAAAAACATCATCTTTAAGTTTTCATACTGTAAATTATTGCGGCTGCTTTGGTGGTTCGATTCTATGGCTGCAGTTGCTGAGATTTCCGGTGATTCAGCCGCTGCCACCAAATTGGACTCAAAACCGAAGCCCGATACCGAATTTAATGTACAGAAGCTGGTTGATATGTTTACAAAGCTGAATCCTTTGGCTAAAGAGTTTTTCCCATCATCGCACTCTCATAATCATCTTCCTCATCTGAGCTCTAATCAGTTCTTTCCCCACAATTTTCTGCTTAAGCCATCTGACAATGACAATTACTCAAACAACCGAAGGGTATAGTCATTTCTCTTTTGATCTCGTTGATCTCAAATTTTGCAGTATTTTTACTAGACGTTTTCTTTTTCCAAGTTTTTTTTTTTTTTCCTTTCTTATTGTTCCCCCAATTCTCTCGGGCTGGGTTGTGTGTTGTACTGGAACTTATTTTGGACCGATTTTATTCTGACTTAATACAGTGCTGAATTCAATAGTTAAACCAATCATCCGTTTTCAGTAATTATAGGATCACTCAAACCAATTTTGCTCTCTGGAACTTTTTCCTGGTAATTTTATCTGAAATATATCAAGAATTGAAGTCGGTCTATGCTCTGTGAAGTCTCTCCCTTTCCCTCTCTCTCTTTTGGGGAAAAAATTGTAACCAGCAGAGCAAATATTCAAATCCTTTTGCAATCTGTCAAATCTCCTTTTCACTACCATGTACCCTGTGACTTTGATCGCAAAGCAGTCTGAGTTAGTTACTTGTTTTAATGGGTAAAGTTTGCCCTCAAGTTTTCTCTTCCTTGAACTAGCATATCTTGAGATTTGGCATAACGAACTGCAGTTTTCATCACTATGACAAATTACTCTGTTGCCTGTTCACTTGGTATTGTGTTTAACTTAAAACTTAGCATACAGCACACCTAAGGAAGGTTAGGCATATTTTTCACGATCACTATATTGTGGAAAATTGCACTTTCTGTCAGAGAGATGATGATATCATTGAGCTAACCTTTTATCCTGAGTTTAGTCCTAATATTTTCAATTTTTCTATCTTGTAGAGAAGAAACAATTTCAATCAGGGAAGAAGGCTGAATGGAAGAGTGCACAAGGCCCAAAGGGAAGACAGCATTAGAAGAACAGTATATGTTTCTGATATCGATCAGCATGTAAGTTATAACAGCTCTAATAACTTCTTGATGACATAAGTTGTCTAGCCTTATAGTTTTGTTAAAGAAAAAGTGTATCTACTTGAATATTCTCGTCTTTATATAGGTAACTGAGGAGCGGCTTGCTGCCTTATTTTCAAGTTGTGGGCAAGTAAGTTGTAACTCACGGTCTTGATTGATAACTCTGCTATTTTTGTGGATCATGTGTTGCTGAATTTGTGTTTTCTTCTATGTGCTAAGCATCAGAGATACATCTTCTAATTCTAATGCTTTTCTTTACTAAAATGAACTCTTCACTCATTCAAGGTTATCACTATTTTTTCTTTTGTTAGCTAGGAGCATAGCATGCCTTGCTTTCTAGCTTCCAATGCATTTTGTTTTTCAAACTATGCTCACTTGAGGGTTTGTTATTGGGGTTGGATGCAGTTGTTTCTATGTTTTTCTGATATAAACTAGTGGAAATTTTTTAGTTTGATAGAGCATCATTACAGAACTGATATGAAGTCTCACACACTTTTCACAGTGAATCTAGGTTTCTGTTTCATTAGTTGTTTTAAAGACAATTTCAGCAAGCAAAACAATTATCTGGACCTGTTCATTCGAAATTTGGATAAACTTCTTAGCAATTATGTGATATATCTCTGTTGGGTGTTGTTAACTCCCTTTTCAGTGAATCTTATGCATTTAGACTTGAAAGGCCGTACTTCTATTCTATAGCACTAATTGTGACATCTTGTTGGGTTTTTTCAAATTGTTGAAGGTAATTGATTGCCGAATTTGTGGTGATCCACATTCAATCCTTCGTTTTGCATTTGTGGAGTTTGCAGATGAACGTAAGTTTAGGCTTGCAAATCCAGATTTCTTCCTTATTTTCTGAAAAAAGATACGAGTGCAGACAAACAAAAAAGACTTGTTTTTTCCAATATGTAAAATGTGTTTTTCATGGAATTTGCATTGACAGGAGGTGCAAGAGCAGCTCTAAACCTCGGTGGCACTGTACTTGGCTACTATCCAGTCAGGGTTCTTCCTTCAAAAACTGCTATTCTTCCTGTGAATCCTACATTCCTACCCAGGGTAAGTGATGAATTTCTTGTCCTTTCTGTATTGTTTGCAGTAGTTGAATTGGTTGAATAAGGAACACAATTTTCAGTTCCGTGATTCAGCTGCTTCTGTGCCATGTGAATGTGATAATATAGTCCATGTGGTGGCTTATCTTTTCTGTTCATTTGAGGAAACTTTTTGAGGGGTTCCACTGGCAAATATTCAGCACTGTCAAATGTCATGTTTTCCATTGATATATTTTTTTTTCTCTCTTCGATCATTTTTTGAAAAAAAGAAAAAAAACTCAAGATGCTTGTTATTGATAAGAGTGCTTTCCATTACATAATCTATCTATCCTTCTTGTCAAGGTAATTTTGGTCCAAAAGCTTTTCAGTGCATTCAATTGTTCTCTTTCTTGCGTAATGTGCAGTCAGATGATGAGCGGGAGATGTGTAGCAGGACTGTTTATTGTACAAATATTGACAAAAAGGTATTTCTAATTTCTCTTTTCGCTTTGTTGGCATAATGACTGTTTACTATTTTTCTCAATCAATTTGTGTTGTATTACTGTTAGGATAAGGAGAAAAAAATGAATTGGAGTTTTGCATATATGGATATCAGCGCTAATTTTCTTGACTTCTCGCTCAATTTACCCTATCTATCTCATTGCAGATTTCTCAAGCTGAAGTGAAGAATTTTTTTGAAACAGCTTGCGGAGAGGTCGGATCAGAACATTTATTTCATGCTAGCTAGAAACTAGTTATTTCAGTGGTTGAATTGTGTTTGACCTTAACTTTATAATTGACAGGTTACACGCTTGAGGCTTTTAGGGGATCACGTGCATTCAACGCGAATTGCTTTTGTAGAATTTGCAATTGTAAGTTTTAAACTGCCAACAAAAGCTCTTATACTTTGCTAGAAAACAGTTTCTTTAATTATAAATGTGTTTCCACCTTGGACAAGTTACTCGGCGTACCATGTATGTTTATTTGTGTTTGTTCTTCTTATTGTAAGTTATGTGACATTATGACCTCGATTTTGCTGGATTCTTGTCATTGTTATATTGCAATACTATATTGAAGAATGAATTATTAGGAGGAAAACTGTCTTTTGTTAGCAATAACTATTAAGCTTTTTTAAGCCCCTTTCCATTGGATAAGTCTTTAAAACTGCCCATCTTGTTTAGTGTTAATTGGTCATTAGTCACATCTTTTATATGTGCGAGATGGACCTGTGTTTCTTACTTCTATGTGAATACATTTAGTAACTAGTTTTAAAAAAGCTCAGGGTGCAAATATCCCATTAAAGCTTTTTTCTTTTGCATGCCTTTTCTTTTATGGTTTCTTTCAATTCTCCTTTACATAGTCCCATAGTGATGAAGAGAATTTACATCTTTGTGATATTGATTTTAGTAATTAAACTGTCCAAGCATTTAATGAGCAGCTATAAAGGAAGTAATAGCTTTTTGTGATTACTGCTATGGACAGCTTTCCATTCACTTGCACAGGAGGAAACATTTTCTTGGCTAATTAGTTCTTTCATCTTGAGCAGGCAGAAAGTGCCATTGTTGCTCTAAATTGTAGTGGGATGCTCCTGGGAACTCAGCCTATCAGGTTTGGTCCCTGTACCCGAAATTATTACTGTTGTTGGGTATGGAAATGCCAGCTGAGCTCAGTTGAATCATATGTGGTATCCTCCTCTTGATGTAGGGTAAGTCCTTCAAAGACACCTGTGAGGCCAAGGATTGCCCATCCAATGTCACGTTGACTGCTTGGTCCGGTCCAATGCTTAGAGAGACAATTTAGTCAACTTTTCAGCTGAGAGATGTGTAGACTGAAAGGGGCGGTGAAACTTCCCTTTGTTTCAGTATTTCCATCTTTTCTGTCAACAGCAGTTGCTGTTTGTTGCCTGAGTTTACCATGTTTGGCTCTACTTAAAGACTTAAAGTTACCATCTTGATCTTTTAAATGTTTGACCATATCTTCGGTTTAAGTGGGCTAGTTCTTTTATTTATTTATTTTTATCATTCACTAATCATAGGCACCTGGTTTAAATGTTAATCTGAATGATGTCCTTCAAGATCTTAGTCCCCCTGAATTGGATGGACAAAGTTTAGGTGCAAAATTTTCGGGTGCTTATCATTAGGTAACAAATGGAAATTTTAGACAACTTAGCATCATAAGATTGTGTTTCTTTTTCTTTGAAAAAAATCGCATGCTTTGCTTTTATCGGAGAACCTAACAGTAAATGCTGGAGTAATACTTTACCTAGAAAGCTAGGCATTCATTCACTGACTGGGAGATAGGACCTCTGGGAAACCATCAGTGCAGACAGATTCATTTTGGCTCTGACATACTTTTGGTGGTTTTGGTGTCTCAAAAACAATTCCCTACATGGTTTGATAAACCTTGAACTGCTCAAGGTAAGGTCTCAAAATCATTGATTCCCAGAATGTCTGATACTAGGATTGGACTAAACCTGGAGAATAGACTGGAGCAGGAATTCACTTGATTCTCCAATCTTGTGGTGCAAAGAGAGCATACCTAAAATATCCAAATACGTGTTTTTCTGTTCCATGAGATGTGAAGAATCAATGCTTTGTGTGGTACTTTATAATCTTGTCTGGTTGCTTTTGGTAGGGTACCTTTCTTTTGTTGTTCCCATCTCAGTTGGAATTGATTCCTTTTCTTGGAGGCTTCATCAATGGTGGGATGTTTTTAGATGGATTAGCAAAAAATTATGAGCATGTAGATTATATATATCATGAATAAAACAATCATTTAGTTTTTTTTTTCTCTTTTAATAGATCAAGTACAGTTTAATTGATAATTTGATTGATTCACCAAGGTCGTCAGTATAACATAGAGATCATACCCTACACTCCAGCGCGTGATTCCCCCCCCCCCCCCATTCTATTTAAGGGAGAGCTTTGTTTTTTAATAAAAAGAAAATTTAACTGATTTGAGTTTTGAAAATTCATCAAGACCAAGATACACTTATAGATTCAAAGAGCATTTATGGACAGATCACTCACTAATAAGATTTTTTATTGGTTGTGAGATTTGAATTTACAATTTTATGGATTATAAATTAAATTCTTATCAAATGGATTAATTTTAGTTAAACTGTAATAATATAGTAAAAAGTAAAAACTTGCTGCAGTAATATAGCGACGGAGGCTTAAACATCTATTTAAAAAAAAAAAATAAAAATCCATTAACATTGGGATGTGATGTCACGATTATTCTAGCCAACTAACAAAAAAGTGGGAGGCCAAAAAAAAAAAAAAGCGGTGAAACCTTGAAACATTTTATGGAGTTACTATTTTCTTCGATGCCACGAAAAAAATATTCATGTTGAAATGTCAGTGTGAGGGAAAATAGTTTACCAAAAGAAATGTGGAAGAAAATAGATTTTGCACTGATATAAAAAAAAAGGAAAAGAAAATAGATTTTGCAACTAGGTGTAATATAAGATTGACTCGGATGCAGTTAAAATTAAAGAAAAATATTGAGTGTCAACAAATTTAAATCTTGAAAGCAAGAGTGCACCCTTAATTTGAGTGTCTAATTAAGGTTATGGACGCAACTTAGAAAGGCTATTTAATGACCTAAATTAATTATGTGGTAGTAAATTTTGATGTTCACTAAGCTACTCTTAATTTGTGAAAAAAATTCTGTACAGCAGTACTAAAATTAATTATGTAGAAGGTCCATATTAAAGGGTATCTTTTAAAAGAATTTTTTGATCATTAATATAACATTCACTATAAGGTAATATTTATTTTTTAATATTATTTTTATTTAAACTCATTAATAATAAAAAAGAATGTAATACAAATTTAAAATTGGTAAAATTAAAAATATATTTTATTTTTAAATAAAGTTAATAATTTAATTATTTTTCTTTAATAACAGTGAAATAGTTGAACGTGTCATAATGAGAATTGAAAAGAATAAAAGATAATACCTTTACTGTTTTCAAACGATAGTTACTATCATTGTGCTTCCAAACAATTGTCACCATAGAATTTCCACAAAACTTTGATTACGTCTCAATCATTTTATCCTTCAATTTTATTAAAAAAACGAGAGACTTTAATTACTAGAACATGATTTTGACCCATAAAAAATTACTATAACATGATAAATAAGGTTATTTTGATAAAAAAAAATTGTATTGTCCCAAAGTAATACTCTTGGAAATTTTGAAGTGAGAATTATTTTTTATATAATAAATTAAAACTCCAAAGTACTAATGATGAATAGTATTTTAAATTGAGGTAGCATTAAATAGAATATAATGTGTTGAAGTGCAGGTGAATAGTGAGTGATCCTATGAATAATTCATACTCTTCCGTATGAAAATACAAGGTAATTTAACTGAATTTCATCTCTTAATAAAATAGTTATTTATTTTTAACTAACCCCATCTTTTCATATTTATTCCTATTAAACATCCTATAATAAATATAAAGTTACTATCAATAGAGGTATTTTAAAAAAAAGGCAATAATTACATCTCAAAAGATTAAAAATGCCTTACATTTTTAAACATCCAACTCTTTAAAAATTATCTTATATTTTTGAATGGAGAGAGTAAATAAAACATGCTTTTGTGACGCACTTGTGCATATTCAACAATTTTATTGCTCCCCAATAGCTATAATGGTTTTATTAAATGATTAATGCATCTTCTTTAAACATTATGTTTTTAAATTTAGTTGCTTTACTATTTTGTAGGTTGTGCTTCACTGTCAAATTTAGTTATGCAGATTCACTGTTTGTAATTCTGTCTCCAATCTTTTCAAATTCTGGCCAATGTGATCAGCACAACATATTTAGATTATTTTGTTTATAATCAACGTATCTAGATTACTGTTATAATATGATTCTGTAAGTTTATTTTCTTAGAAAAAAAATGTATTCCTTAACCGTAATTTTAAGATGGGATTGAAACACTAATCAAATCGAAATCAAAAAATTATAGCAGTTTAAAATGAAACTCAAGGAAATGCTAAAGAGTCAAAATAAAATAAAGTAAAGTAAAAATACATAAGTGAAATTTCGGATAAGAAAATATATGAGATTAAAAACTATTTTTGACTTAGATGATTTAACTTTCATTCCTTAGGCTTTAATTCACTGATTTATTATTGAAATTCTGTTTTAGTGTTAGTTTTAGAACAAAATCCTAACATATTTACTATTCATTAATTAGGGATTAGTAATGTGAGAACAAATTAAGTCCAACAATAATAGTTATTATTTATCCTGATGCCAATTAATTCCAGAACTAAATCCAACAATTATTGCTCTGTATTTGGTGCTGGGTATGGGTTAAGAGTGGGTGTATATATATATATATATATATATGCAGGTAAGACACACAAGTTGCAGTGGCAACAAAGAGCAAAGAAATCAAGAAAAAAAAAAAAAAAGATGAAGAGCATCAACATATTTGCAGGTCTAGCAGTAGTACTTGTCTTGTTCACCTCTGGCACGCATGGTAAGAACTTCGTATGTTAGAGTTGAAAACGCATCATTATTGAGACTTTTCGAGTCTCAAGCTAAATATTTGCCAATGCTTACATACATACTTACATACATATTGGTGTAAGAACGAGGATGACAACGATGCAGGGAAGAAGGAAGTGAAGGCAGATGAAGTTGGAGAAGTGAATGAACAGTGCGTGACAGCAGAGGATATGGCAGCGTGTGGGGAGGGAATATGTAATAGGTTTTGCAAAGACAAGTACGGCAATGTTGCAACTGTCGTAGGAAAGTGTTCTCTTCAGACTGATTCAATCTGTAACTGCATCCACCCCTGCTAGGCTTGTGTTTCTGCTATTATAATTTTTATATAATGATGAATAACTCATACCAGATAATTTATATATTTTATGTTTTCAAAATACATGAATGAGAAACAATGAAAATAAATTATGAGAATTAAAAACAAAATTTGATTAAAATATAGGGAGCTGAAGTGATGTTTTCTTTTTGAATTTATACGCATGTAATAAGAACACAAGACTCAAAGATTCAGAGGAAAGGTTACGGATATAAAGTTTTGTTGGGGTCAAAATTGATACAACGTCCTATTCTTAACTTAACTTAGAAATCGTCTCTGATTGGATCAACTTTGGCTTTGAATTATCTGATCATCAAGGCAGAGTACATTTTAGAACAGTTTTTATTGCTCTGCTTGAGTGTATCTCATCATAATTTTTTTTTTTAACCAAAGCTTATCAAATCAATCATGAAATACTTATCATGATTATTTAATTTCCAACCAGATGCACCTCGTGAGTCATGATCATTTTGCCAAGCCGCATAATTAATCAAACAATTACAAGGCAAGAGGTTAGGGTTTTTTTTTTTTTTTTTTGCCAAAACAAAGTCCTATCTAAACGTTAAAACGTATATAAGTTTTCTAGTATAATTAATGATTTTTAAAAAAATATTCTTAATAAATAAATCACTCAATCACTTACTTTTAAATAAGATACCTTATTAAATAAAAACAAACAATATAAAAAGATGATATTAGTTTAAAGATAATTAATGAATTTATTAAAAAATATAATTTGATTAAAATTAAATACTTTATTTTTTTTAAGAGAGTATACGTGTGTGGCCTTATGTTTATGTTGTTTTTTTTTTTTTTTAACCAAAGCCCTATGTTGTGTTTATTAGCCACTTGACATAATGTTCCATTTCAAAATTTGGTGGGGCCGTGCTATTCATGAAGGTTTGGAATTTCAAATTATAAATAAAAATAAGAGAGAAAAATAAAAGACTAAAACTAAGAAGGGCCTTTTCCCTTTTGGTTTCAGACCAAATTGATTGATTCCTTTTCAATACACTGATTGAGGATATAAAATATTTGTTATATTTTTGTAATCATCGCTCGAAAATAATGTTGTATATTAATTTTTTTTTGTTTGGTAAAGGTGTATATTAATTTTTATTTGAATACATATATGACATTTCATATTTAAAAATTTAATTTTAAAAATTTTTATTCTACGTACCGAACAAGTTAATTATAGGTTTTATATATAGTTTTATGTCATCTCATAATTTGAGTCCTTTAATACTGTATTCCAAGATATTCCGACATATTTTCCCCTTAAATATATTTATAATGAACTAATGTATCTCATGTGCAAAGTTTAATTTACGTGGTCTTATTTATGTAGTCATACGAAGGTATACTTGAGGTAAGAAGAAAGTATAGCTATTAAAAATAAGAAAATAGCTTTCGTTAAGAAGGGGAAGAAGAAGAAGAAGAAATAGCGTGTTTCTTATTTAAAAACAATTGAAAATGAAAATGTTATTTGACTAAGCCTCCATTGAGTCTATTCAAATGAATGGATCGGAGATCGGACTGTATTGGTTGAGATTGAAAGGTTGATTGGGGACACTTGACAGCAATCTCCGCCAATAGAATTTCCTTTTTTTTTTATTTGTTTATATTAATTTAATGTTAGTGACGCTATTTGAAGTTTATTAAAACCCTTGATGTTACTAATTATCATTAATGAATTATCTGAGCATTCTACAATTAAGCTTCTCGAAAATACTAAAATGTTTTATTCAAATGCCAATTAAAATGTAAGAGCGTGGCAAGGGTAAAAAAAAACAAATTTCAACTTCTAGAAAACTTCATAATCTTGATTTCTTCATCCGTGGATGTGCTTTTCCTGGACCGTTTGTGACATAATAATAATAAAAAAAGCTTCGGTTCAACCATATGTATCATTCCAAAAATGACATACGATTTCTCTACGTTGAACAATTTTATACATAAAAGTCGTATTATGTAGAAACAAACAGATTTGGAGGTTGTACTAGTTCTAGCAGGTTCTAGATCAATTATGATAATTAGCCTCAATTAATTACCTCTCATCAGGCTATATCTCTCAAATTAAAGCAGATCAGATGGGAAGACCAATGATACAATCAACAACGAAAGTGAAAACACCCTACCCTGAAAAAAAAAAAAATTTGTCTAAATTAAATATTCCAAAAGAATTAAAAATAAATAACAACTTAAGTTATTAATAAAATTAAGTCTAATGAAATGGATTAGTTTCTCGAGACGTGATAAATTAAAAGATATTTACGCTTATCTTTTAATTTCACACTTATTCTAATTGCATTTTAAGCAAAATTGCTTTCATTTAAACATAAAAAAACGCATGAACATGCAATAAAAACTAAAAGACTTGATCTTGTGATGGGTGGTGAAAATAAACATGTTAATTGTTTGATTACAATTAAAAATGTATACTGTGCTCAGCCCTTTGGAGAAACAAAAATTTAAAAAAAGAAAAGAAAATTATATTGTCCATGTTAGCGCACACTTGCTCATTAGGCGCCCAAGTCAGCCTTTAACTTGCCACATCATCTGGCAATAGCAATATAACCCCTGTACGCCACACCATCGATTTAGGGACTAGATAATTAACCATAATTAGTAACATAAGTACAAACTATCGATCTTGACATAGGGATGTGTTTAAAAGTTTTTAAACCATAAGGAGCAATTTTCAATTAATATAAACTATGCGAACTATTAGATTAATTTTCACTTTTTCCTTTCCGGAATTTCAACCCTTTTTAATTCATCAGGAAAGTTCCTAAAGCTAAAAGGCAAAAAGTTGCATAGCCCAGAAAAATGTATATTTTATTCACAAATGGTTCAGGGTAAGTAATGTACATATGTGCCGCAAACAGAAAACATTCGCCATTAAGTAAAGCTGAATTTTGCCTACGCCGATATCCCTATATGGATAACTTTTCTTCTTTTTTTATTTCTTATTTTGAAAATGGGAAGTTTGACAAGTAATATTTGATACGGTAAGTCTCATGCATGACTCAGGTTTATATATATGCATGTGCTCACCCAAAGTTTGTGATGCATCTAGAAGCAAATACTTTGTTCCTTATTTTAGATAAATATATGTACGTGGTAATAAAAAAAGAAGGATAAACAAAGAAAGTGAAGATTTTTTGTTATAAAAAATTTTGCTTCCGTTTCCTTTACGTGGTCACATATGCCTACAATATTTGATGACAACCACATGAATGTTTGATTAATTTTCATCAACGTCAAAATATGTGACGTCTCTAGTGATTCAAGCAATTTGCATGTATATAAATAGTACGGTAGTTACATTTAGCATAATGAATATTTAAATTCAGGGACAAACGAGAATTTGGATCATCTCTATATACTCATATTGAATCTCATTTATACATTTAATTATTTACTTAGTTTAACGGTAAAGTAATATTAATTTACCACTACAAGAAAAAAAACTTAGAAAAACGCCTTTATCAGAAGATTTACAAAGAAAAACATTTCTATATAATTAATGAGGCAGAGCCTACTGAAATGCTTATTTTAAAAAGCAGTTCCATAGATTACTTCAACCAGAACGCTTCTAATTAAGAAGAAGCATTCTCGTAGGTGTGCCTATGGAACGCTTATAAGCAAAAAACTCTTATGTAGGTGTGCCTGTTAAAAGGGTCCACATGGTATGCTTACATGCATAGCGCTTTCAAAGCAATTTTGTATACTTTTTTCTTTGCAGTATTCATTTAATTACAACATATAATTAATATAGGATTGTGTTCTTGTTTTTAAAAACATTTAAGTGATAATAAAAATATATAGCCATTAAATCGAATGGAGAATTAAATGAACTGATAAGATTAAATATAGAGAAAGGTATTAAGAGTGACTATGAACTGTGAAGACAATCCAAATGAAGAGAAAATATATTTTAGCATTACTAAAAGTTTTTCTCATGATTTATATTTTTGAAAAAAAATATCCGAAACAACTCTTTCTTGAACATTTCTTCAAAGAGGGGACCCTCAACGTTATCTGCCAAAAGTCCAAAACAAATATTGACCATGAAAAGGGCAGGAAAAAATATCCAACATTTCCTTAATTTTATATTATTGATATATTGAGAAATTTTTTCTATCAAGCGAGAGAAACGTGTCACATTATTCATGGCTTATAAATCATATTGTGACTCAGCAAAGATTAATTTTATATTACAAGAAAAATTATAATTCAAGGGCGTATAAATTAACTTTAATTTCCCATAAACACAAAATTGGTTGTATACATCCCATTCAAATTCATTCAAAGCAAAGCATGAATTTCAAACAGACAACAAAAATGGTATAATCGAATAACCCATCATTATTGTTCATACACGCCGTTTAACTTTGAAGAGGTTTAATATCAATAATCATGCTAAAAACAAGGCCAAAACTTTTCAACCGTCCATTATTGACACGTAGCGTCGAGCTCAACCAAAGGGAATGGTTCGTGATGACCAATAAATAAGCTGCCTCCAAGCGAACTCTGACCAAAAACTAAAGACGCGAACTAAACAAGCAACTGTACTGAGTTAACCAATCAACGCTAGCTCAAGGCTCATGTTGAGTGTCACCCAAGTATTCTCTCCCCATCACGTGCTTGACTCAATCTGGTTCTCAATTTCTCATGATATATCGTACGTCCAAAAAATCAAGACTTAGCCATTTAGACTGCTTCCTATCCAATTCAACTAACTCTACAATATAATTCACATCACACACCGACGGTCAACCTTGTTCATCTTTCAGATTTCAGTTTTTTCTTGCCCATCAAACTTACTCAACCTCACCCTCTCATATATTTATATATATATATATATATATAAATCGTAGCCCAACAGAGAAGCACACAGTCCAGAAGAAAAACACCGTACACGAAACCTAAAAAGCTACAGTGATTCTGCTGCTGTTTCGAGAAGTGTTGTAAGATAATGTCTGGGAGAGGAGGATACAGTAAAGAGCCAGTGAAGGTTGTGATAATCAGTACACAATACGTTCAAACTGATGCTGGGAACTTCAAGTCAGTGGTTCAGAAGCTTACAGGGAAGGATTCTCATGATCATGATGATCAGGTGGAAGAAGAGCCTGCTTCTTCTTCTGCTTCTCGAAAAGCAATAAATTCATCAGAGGCCAAAGCTGAGAGTCATCATCATGAGGTTTCTGGGAGCGTTTTTATTAGAGACGTCTCGTTTAAGGAGTTTGATAGAATGCTGAGAGAGATGCCACCAATTCATGAGATCTGGTCTGATTATCAGTAATTTCTTCATTATTTGTATTTCATTGATTCTTATTTGATGATTACTTTTGCGATGCAGATTATTTATGTCTCGTACTTGTATCCAGAATGATTTTTACTGATAACGTCTTCTGACGTGTTGCTAATACGTGGATTAATTCTTGACACTAATATATACATATATAATAAAATATTTCATTAAGATGACAGGTTTTATATTAGGATCGTACGATCTAACGCTACCGCCAAATAATTTGATGAATTAATTAAAGAATTAAATTTATCCGAGAATTAAATCTGAAGTGGACAGTACGATCTTTTCCACCCACCGAATATGTTGAACGGCAGGTGGGGCTCGGATCAATTGAAGCACCAAGGAGGTTGTATTTGACCTTTTGTTTTTATGATAATTAATGGAAAAACGAAAATGTAAGAGTTCGAATTTCTAGTTTGCATGAATGTTAATGTACTTACAATTTACTCTATGTCCATCTACCTTTCTCTCTTTGTTTCTAATTTCATGCAATTTGTGTACTGGATATGTCACGCATTGAAACAGGAGAATAGTAAAGTTGGAATCTGAGCCTTTAAGAAAATTTAGAAGTTTCTGACCAAAAAAAGAAAAGAAAATTTAGTAGTTGATTAATGCATGTTTGTGTTGAATTTGGTATTAGCTTTGAGTTCTTGCTAAGTTCTTGTGTGTGGGTTTGGAATATGTGTGTGAATGAAGTAGTTATGATGCAAAAGGAAAAAATTATGAAAAGCTTGTGATCTCATTTGTGTATTTGATATCACTTGGAGAAATATCGTGAATTCCAAGTTGCAATGAGATTTTCTAAAAACAGTACAAAATTGTTTTTTTATAATTAATCTACAAGTTCTTATAGTTTTTTTTTAATTTTAAATCATGTTATTGTAATTTATTTTATTTTAATCAAGTTCTTATAGTTTGATTTATTAAATATGTTGATCCTTGAAGGTTAAAATTAATAATAAATTATCAGTTTTTTTAATGAATTTTTTTTTGAAGTCATAGAAAATTTAATTTAATATTTTTAGCCAACTTTGAAATAAAGAAAATTTGATTTAATACATTATTTAAATTTTTATTAATTTTTTATTAAAATTTTATAAGTATAAAAAATATTTGAAAGACAACCTAATTATATAAAATTTAAATTATAAAAATTATGTGATTTATTCTAAAGTTATATAACCATTTAATAAAAATATAAAGTTCTTAATTTTTTTAAGAAAAAAATTCAAGGATTTAAATTTTTATGAGTTAAAAAATTTAATTGATCAAATTATATGGATTCAATTAAAATAAACTAAATTATAAGTACTTCATTCACAATTGCCCAAAAAAAAAAACCATAAGAACTTGCGGATATATATATTGTTTTTTTTTCAAAAGTAAAAATTCAGATTCACACAAGGGTGGAGAGAAAGGTGAACCAACAGGAGTTATGACCTCTCAAATTTTAAATTTTTTTATATTATATAAATGTTACATACTTTTAACTCTTAAAATTTTTGAAAGCTTTGCAGCATGTGTGTGTTTTAAACTTTTAATCCCAACCCCCTTATTATTAAATCATAGCGCTAGCTCTGGCGTTGGATCTACGTAACTATAGTTCAAATATGAAATTAAGAAAGTTTTGGTTCATTTATGTTCTTAAAAATTTTCAGGGAAAATCCTAAGATTTTTGGCAGCTTCGGAAGGAATAATAAGCACATCAAGAGCTACCATCCTTTTGTATATAGGGGAAAAAGGTATGCTATGTTCTATTGAAATTAAAACTTGACAATTTGATTATTGATATATATCAATATTGTATAAAAGAGTACATAAATGAGAAGATACTGCGCATAACACAAAATTAGAAAAGAAAATACTAGGATGGAGTTTTATAGTTAACTCAAAGGACACAAAAAGTTTCCATTACATACAATATATAGCATGATGGTGTATGAAAAACCAAAGCAATGGTGAAGCCGAAGGGATTTGGCAGGAGCCACGAATCTCTAAAAATTATTTTTTAATCTCGACCTTCCTGGTACTTAAATTCCAGCTATATAGTTCCACTCCTAAATAGAAGAATATATGATATGACTAGATTTAGGTAACGAGACCCTGAAATTTCAAGATTATTCATGAATTGCAAATAGTACGTACAACTTTCTTGTAAGAGTGGTAATAAAAGAAAGGGGGAAGGCTAACAAGGGTGGAAGCGGAGACAAATTGATTTATTGTCAGCAGCACAGAGGCCACCAGTAATTAAACCTTCTTTAGGTTTTGGGAACATTTGTCTGCAGGAGATATCGCAGTTAGCGTTATTACAATTTGGCATGTTGTGTTCCGTCCCACAAAGCCTTGCATACGCCTTTGCTTCCTTACTACCTCTACCCACTAATATTTTCTTTCTTTCAGACCTCGACACCATGCATTATATATATATATGTATGTATGTATATATCTATTTGCAGAAGAAAATGTGTGTGTGTGTGTGTGTGTATGCATATATATATATATATATATATATCATCATCATCATCATCATCAAGTTTTAAGACAATCGACGACTTACCGGAGATGAGAATGAGGAGAGCTAGAATAGCAAATATGTTTGTAATAATCTTCATGTTCTCCAAACTTCAGTTATTCATTTGATTAAGTAGCTTCTGTTATATACACGCACAGACACACACACACACACTCTTGCATACTTAATCCTCCTTAATCACACCCTCTTAATCGTCATAAATACATTCCCTAATTCCTTGGTTTTGTTCTAAATTAAACTGACCCCAATCAATTTTCATAATTAACTCCTGGGATTTTTGTTCTAAAGGCTGTTAGCAAAATCGGGAACGGCATATGAATAATTACTGAAATATACTGGCACCGCAAAAAAAATATTTTTTCTTGTGGGAAAATTAACAAATTAATGATTAAAATTAAGAAATTATCAAAATTAATTAACGAAATTGAAATAAAATCCAATCATTAATTCTCATACCGTGAACAGTTTTAAACGTGGGAGGGTTTTTTTTTTTTTGGCCAAAATGTGTGTGAGGTTTAATTAGACGTCTTGATTGAGGGTATTTGATTTGATGATAAATAAATCAATGAATGGTATCTTTGACCCGAGAAAAAAAAAAAAACACATCATCACTCAGCCATTGTCTGTACTGTATAATAATTTAGTTAGGACTTATTAGGAAAGTCTATCATTTGCTCTCAGTTCTGGTCGAAATAATCTCAACTTTTTGCTCTAAACTTTGTAACAGCTGGATCTGTTTTAGTAATATCCTTACCCTGGGAGATTAACCAGATAGGCTCATTTATCACCTCTCCTATTCAATAGGGCATTAGTCGAAAATTATAATAAATGTTTTAGATAAATAAATTAATTATTCCTTATAAATAGAAACAAAACTATACTCCTAAGCTTTTATTATAAATGGAAATGGAGGGAGTAGAATGTGTAGATTGGGATGACAAATGACTCTTACAATCTCTTAGTGAGTCTAAACTGCATTTTATATTTTGAATTGTGAATTAAGTTTAAAAGTTTGGAGCGTTAATGTCAAGTTTGGGTCATGTGAATAAACCCAACATGTCCAGATTACAGACTCTAAACATGATTATTGAAATTCAGACAGTAATATTGAGAGGCGTTTGGGTGACTAAATAAGAGGAGGTAGCAGTCTAAAAAGACCAAACCTATTCACAAACCCAAAAAAAGACCAAATCTGTCACATCAGAGACCGATCCATTCATTGAGGAGCGCTTGATGGCCTGGCCATTTTATTTCGTGGGCTAGCCTTTTTGGGCCCATGTAAAATTATAGCGCAAATTAAATGGCATTTGAAAGAGCATTATAAAATACGAAATCAATATTTAATTTTGAGATTTAGTTGCCCAACTTGTTCCTCTTTTTCTGCTTTTTTTTATAGTCTAATTTTTTAAAAAGAAAATAACCCGTTCAATTGAAAAAAATTAACTCAGCCTCGCTGGATTCATTCTAGAACAAAGCAACACCCAACCAGATCCATAATCACCTCTTAGGTAGTAGAGCAGTGTTTGGCTTGGTTGACGCGTGAGACTAGATTAGATTCAATTAGTTGACGTGAAGGGCAATATAATAATGTTAATGTGACTAAAATTTGTAATTAATTAATAATTTATTTGGTAAGGTTTTATGCTTTCATGCGGCAAGCAAGACAAATAAGACAATGGGATACGGATAAAAAGCAGTTATACCAATCCACACTGTCCGCCTGACGAGCCCAATTTTTTGTTGAACTAGCAGCCACCATCTAATCTTTTAAGTCTCATTTTTGTACACTGACGTGTTACTTCTTAGTTGTTTCTCCACTATAATTTTTTATTTTTTTGGCGTGGTGGTCAGAGAAGTGACTTTCGCTGAAGCTACTGCCACTTGGATCAACTAATAATAGTTATTTTTGTTTGATCAAATGTCTCAAGTTAAAGTCCTAAAAATGCAGCGGCATAAGCAGTCAAGAGCATCTATCTTTGTGATGCTTATGAAGTTTCAATTTAAATTAATCTAAGTCCTATTAAGTCCTTGTAACTTGAGTAAGGCAAGTAAAGAATACCCAGTGCTCGCTCAAGCCAAAAAAAAATTGGTAAAGGAATAAATTGAATTTTAAATTATAGGTTTGAAAATATCTAAAATTATAAAACTCATTTTTATGCAATGTTTCACTTTAATTTTTAAAAATATTGTAACCTATTTCCTACTTTTAACAAACGTTAATTTTAATAATTAGTTGATCACGAAATGTCAAGAAAGAATTTCAAAAATTATAAAAAGACCAATAAAATTTTCTTTGCAAAATTATCTGTAATTTATGGGTTTTTTATTATAATTTTTTAATTATTTTTTGATTAATTAATGATTAAAGTTAATTTTTATTAATATTAAAGATTGAATTTTAAAAGTTGATAGAAAATATTATATCAAAAATAAATTTAACATTTTAAATATTTTTAAATGTATAGTTTAGAGGTTAATTTGTTTTGAAAGCCAATAGTATTATTTAACACACATGAAAAAGACGTGCGTGCTCTTATTTGTTACTAGAAATAAATGATTTACGTTAGTTAAAAATAAAATAGCAAACGTGAGGTATTCGTTGGATGGGATACCTAGAGGGTAGAGTGATGTTGACTTGAGTTTGATAGAATAGCTACATGGAGACGTGGCTCGTGAATCTAAAATAGAAAGGAGCAAAGTGGGTATAAATTAATAAAGCTAAGAAGGAACAAGGCGTCATGCTTTTGTAAATCGGATGATTGTTGATCAGCTAATTTGGTGAAATGATTTGGAATCTCCAAACAGGAAACATCTTCATAGTCCAAACATGCTCCCATGTCCCACTTGGTTTCAGGAGTATGAGAGACACCAACATCAGGTGCCCTTTCATTTAAGGTTAGGTTAGGTTGGCAACTGCCACTTTCCACCTTCAATTTTATTTATTTATATTTATATAAAGTGAGACTAAAATATCCTCTGATCCAATATATAATTCACTTTTTAAAAATATAATTTAATTTATTTTATAAGTCATTTGTTAATAGAATTATTTTATTTTAAATTAAAATTCTTAAATTACTTAAAAAGTAAGAGAGAGAAATATAAAAAAATAATATTATATGATTGACTTATTTTTTACTTTTTACTTAAGGATTATGCTTGAAATTTTACTTACTTTTATTCCTTGTATTTTTATTATATTGTTATTTATGAGGTGGGTAAAAATAATTTATAAATAAAATTGGAAGGAATATACCAATAAAAGGTGAAGACAAAAGTGATTTGTTGTCTCTGTGAATTATGAAGGTCAGTAATTAACTATTAACTAATAGAAGAATGCTACGTGTTGATTATGTATGGGGATGAATAAAATTTCACATGGCTATAGCTAGATGAACATCTGCATTCAATTCTTACCCTTGGCATTCAACAAAGGTAATATGAGATTTAAGGTCGTTAGGTTTCAAATTTAAGATTCACATTTTTGGGGGACTTATGTATATGTGTGTGTGTGTGTGTGTGTGTGTTTTGTGATAATCAAGGAGACAAAGAAAGCAGCTCAAGCGGGAAAACCTCGCGCTGATACATTAGAAGCTCATGCAGACCTATTCGTTGTTCTAATGGACATGGATTGATTGGTTAACTAAATAACAAAATGTGACATTTAAATGCTTTTAAGTTTGGAACCTTGGATGCCCTGATACGTACTCACGGCCTTCTACGACTCATTTTACTTAATTTTTTATATAATTTTAATAATATGTAGAGTGTGACATTATTTTTTTTTCCTGGTATTTGGTACATAAACTCATCAAATAACAAATAAAAAAATCACATGCAGCACATATTAAAATAATTTGTAAGGTTTTTATTCTTGGCGTATTTTAAGAAAATAAAATAAATAAACCTGGCTTGTATGAAAAACAATTTCATTTTTTCCTGTCCATTATGCATCCCTGCGTGGTAAAACCCCTATATCCTATCACTAAAAAACCTAACAAAGAGTATTAAATTGCAGTTGAAACTTAAAACTCTCATAATCCCATCATGACTATAACTGTAATATCTAGATAATATAGTATATATGTATATATGAAATTATGAATATCCTCTAATCTTTCGCATTCTCATTGATACTTGCATGGCATTATCTCCACGTATTTACAACGACAAAGGAATAGCAATATTTTGTTTTTAGTATTTTAGCATACCAGGATGGCAGGATAAAAAAAAAATATAACACTAATTTTGTATAAATTTTAATGAATAAAAAATGTAAAACTCATATACAATACTTCCTCTGTCCCAAATTATAAAATATTTTTAGACAAAATCTCACGTATCAATAAATCTCATTAAATATACTTAACAATCTTATTTTTTCAAAAGAAAAATATAAACTTTTTAAAATATTTATCATTTAATATATTGAAAAAAGAATTGATAAAAATTAATTATAAAAAAATAAATATAATATTAAAATTATTCTATGTAATGAAACCTTAATCTACTCAAAGTATTTTATATTTTAAAATAATTTTTTTTTTAAAAAATATCTCATAATTTAAAATGGAATGTGTACTTAAGAAAACTGTGACCACTTTAGCATCATTTATTACAGTGGGATGAACGTCGAATTTAACTCGGGCTAAAAATTCTACTTCAAATCTTTGCAGCCCAAAAAAAAAAAAGAAAAAGAAAAAGGATTTACGTCAAAATGTAATTTTCAGGCAATTTGAACGTACATTTGTTCCTCTTTTGCAAGAAGACCACACAAGAGATAAAGAGATTTTTGTTTCAATAATTGGTGTTAATCCATTTAATTCTGAATGATTTTGAGACGTCAATCCGGGCTAATACAACAAGTCAATCTCATTTAAGGAAAATAAACTTATTTGATTGAATTAGCATAATATTTAATATTTAATATTTAAATAACAAATTTACATGATATTAAATTTTGTACAGTTATTTTAATTAATATGAAATTTTTAATTTTTGTTACCAATTAATATAATTTAAGTGTATTAACATTGATAATATTTTATTGAGTTAAGGTCTAATTTTATTTTTATATTTATTTTTTAGGAGTGTCAGGTACTATATGTTTGAAGTGGGCAAGTTTTTTCTTGAAGTATTTTTTCAAAGTCAAAAAATGCCCTTCCATTAGAATGCCATTACCTTTGCTATTTTTATACACATAACATACATGTGGAGCCCACACACAATGACAGGTACTATGCTCATTTTCTTTGGTGCTAATTTGTTTATAAATTCTTTTATTAGGAGAATTGAGCATTCAAAAGTTTTTTTAGGAGCATTGAGTATCTTAAAATTTTTTTCTAAAAGCTTTAAGCACTGAGCACTAAATATTTAATAATTTAAATATTATTATTTATAAATATTCATTCAAAATTTATAAATTATTTTAAAATATTAACAATTTAAACTAACATTTTATAAATTTATAGATGACTTTTTATTTTTTATGTATTGATATTCAATTTTTTCTTTAAGGCAATGCTCAAATTATTATGCCTTTTGTATATATTAAAACTTACTTATATTTTTAATATTGATTAAATTTTTTAAATTTTTATGTCATTTTTTGTAATTTTTTTGGTCAACTAACCATCATCCTCCAAAATATTATATTATCTAAATTTAATATTCTTTGTATAATATAGTGTGAGGAGTAAAATTAAAAATATGATAAATTAGGACAAACAATATGTCAACAAGAATATTTATTTAAAAGATATTGCTTATCCCATTAATGTATTATAAAAAAAAGTTAGTTAGCAAGAGAAAAATGGAAGATGAGAAGAAATTTGGAGGTTCATTTCCTTTGTTTTTAATGCAAAATTATAAAATATTAAAAATATTAAAATATTAAACTAGATGGTATAATATTTTAAATAATAATATTTAAATTATTAAATATTAAATATTAAAACACTTAATATTTTAATAATATTTATTAAATTTTATTTTAACAAAACTTCAAAACACTCAATACTATTAAAAAAAAAAGTTTAAGACCAAACTAATATCAGAAACATGATCAAGATCCTGTATGTCACTGTGCTTAAATTTCATGTGCATGCCACATCAACAAACAAAAATAATAGTTGACTAAAAAAATTTTTTTTACTTCTTAAAAATAATTCAAAATTAAAATTATTTTATTTAAAAATATAAGATGCTTAATATTTTAAAAAAATAAGTATAAAAATAAAATTAAAATTGTAGGAAATAAAAGAAGTATGACTCCTTCGTAGCACTGTTTTTTTAGACACCTTTATAAAGCGATGGGAAGAAGCACGGGAAAGACACGCGACGATGAGCGCGTGAGGTGGGATCCATGATGATTCTTTCCTCGTCGACTTCTCCACGGCCCGTGCCTGGCTTTGTTTATATACATAAACCTCTCTCTCTTTCTCTCAGTTTCCGTAGGGCAGAGCCCAGAGGCCGAAAGAAACAATGACAAATTTGTTTAATTATTTTATTTTTATATATAAAAGGAAACCGAATCGCAAACAAAGAACGAGAAATCTGTGTGTCTCTCTGATCGTGTTCCTATTCTTCTGGACAAATCTCTCGGTCTTCATTTCCCTCTTCAGATTTTCTCCCTCCCTCTCCTTCGCTCAGGTTCTTTCCCGAATTCCAATCTCTGTCCATTTCACTGCTTGTTTGCAACCTTCTGTTTCATCTCCTGCTCGACGCATCTCTCTCTTTTTTTTCCCTCTCCCCACTGAAAAGTAAAAAGATTGTCCTTTAAAAAAAAAAAATTGATGCTTCTTACACCTGGTGATGACTGGGAAGCTACGCCCAGTTTTATAGTTTTACTATTCTTTCTCCCCCTCCCCACCCTATTGCGTTTCTTGACGTTCTCTTGAATTTGGCTGTGTGTGCTTCGCCAATTGTCGCCAATTGAATCCCTAAACTCTGCCGTGTGGAAATTAGGTTCTTGATGTTGGAATTGTGGTTGATTGTTCATCTGAAATTAGTATGCAATGTGACACTCGCTGTTAGTTTTCTATGTCTTGTTTTGGAAAGTCAAATTAGGATTACCCGCTTTCTTTTTTATTTGAGGTTTGCTTCTTTAGTTTTTGGCACCAGGGAAGAAATGCCTCTTGGCAATAAAATTGTAGGAAATATAAAAAGTATGACTCTTTCGTAGCACTGTTTTTATGTGGGCCTTAGGATTTTATCCTTGTGATAATACTAATTATAATTATTATTATTTTGAAGTGTTTTGCTTATCTGTCGCATTCTCCATGCTCTGCAGGACAGTTAGGATGTGTTTCTCCAACAACCTTCGTGAGATAAAACGAAATAAAACACTGTTGATTGATTGCAATGTATATTAAGGGTTAGAAATGTTGTTCATTGTAATTTTGTAATCAATACAGTCTAATTCGTGTATGGATACTTTTTTCAAATGTATGAGTAACGTGTGACAGAGTGGATTGCTGTATTTGATACTGTGTTTTATCTTGTTGGAGAATTCAAATAAACGTTATCCAAGAAGTACCAAGTTTTCGGATGGGTAATAAACTTGGGAGGAGAAGACAAGTGGTAGATGAAAAATATACTAGGCCACAGGGCCTGTATAATCATAAAAATGTAGATCATAAGAAGCTGAGAAAGCTGATACTCGAATCAAAGCTTGCACCCTGCTGTCCTGGTGATGAAGAGTCTACCTATGATCTTGAAGAGTGCCCGATTTGCTTTCTGGTCTGGTTGATGTTCTTTTCTTTCAGTCTTAGATTTTGTTCGCCTTATTTTGAGACTGTACTCTTTATAAATTAAAAAAGAAAAAAGAAAAAGATCTTTTGATTTCTCAACTGCGCAAATCTCTTTCAAACTGCAAATTTGACTCATCAGTTTTATTTTTTAAAAGGCTAAAATGATGGAGGATCAAATATTTCAAGTTTCCAGCTTGTTTTGTGCTGCTTTTCTTTTCTTTTTTCGTGAAGTCTGTTCTGTTTTTGAATGTTGTATATGACTTTACTAATTATCATATTTTTATCTTTTTTTCTTTATTTAGTATTATCCCAGTCTAAACCGTTCAAGATGCTGCATGAAGAGCATCTGTACAGGTAATTATTCACTCATCTTTACTAGAATGTATCTTTTCAATATTAGTTGTTTGCAACCTGATTTCTTCATTTTACCAGAGTGCTTTTTGCAGATGACAGTTCCTAATTCAACTCAGCCTACACGGTATCCTGGTTCACCTGCATCTTGTCTTCAATACAAAAAGATACAGCTCATATCTTCTATCTGAAAACTGCCATGTTTTTGTTGCTTCTGTCTTCTGATTGTATGATAATTGTTTTCCTTCACTATGTAAGATGTCCCTTCTGCAAAACAGCAAATTATGCTGTTGTTTATCGTGGTGTGAAATCAAAGGAAGAAAGGGTGTTGGAGCAGATTGTATGTTATCTTCCATATTCATTAAATATTGTTTTTGAGTTTATTTTCTGAAATACTTGGTAATGAATAAGCTAATTAAGTTTTACTTGATGCTTTCAATAAATTAGGAAGAACAGCGTGTCATAGAAGCAAAAATCAGGATGCACCAGCATGAACTGAAGGATGAAGAGGAAAGAATAAATAAAAGACAAGAAATAAGCTCTTCAAATGGAAATGTGGCGCCTGTGGACGTTGAATACAGCTCAAATGCAGGTAGTATTTTCACCAGACTTCTGCATTTTATCTATATGATCGATCCCAGTAATATTAACTAATCTAGTTTCAATTTTGTAGCAGCTGGATCTTCTATATCTGTTGTTGAAGGCGAGGAAATCAGTTTTTCACATGATTCTTGTGTCATCCCAATGGTTAGACCACCACCACCTGCTAGGACCAATAGGTGTGTTTGTTTTCATAATCATAGCTTTTTCATATCTTCACACCGCCCTCTCTTCCTCCCTCCCATTTTGATCCAACATGTCAATTGATGTTTCTGTTTTCAGTCTGTGTTCACTTAAATTAATGCATGCAAATCTTAAGCAAACAAGGGGATGAAGAATTTTAATTCAAGTATATAAGGTGCTGAAACCTTTTATGTGTACTTGCGTTTTCTTTCTAATGATTCTGCGTGATACATTTTCTCTCTAATATTTGGACTGTTAGAATACAACAGATCCTTTATTTTATCAAGTATTGAGCATATTTATAAAATGAGAATTAATAGTACTTACTGACTTGGTCTTTTTGCTTGGGTCAATAATCTGTGCCACAGGTTGAATGATGATTTACAAGTATAATAGATGACAAAAGTTGTAGTTTTAGCATGTCAGAAATAACTGGAGACATTCTTGGTTCGATATTGGAGCTTCATTTCTTTAAATGTGGCCATTTGGATTATTTTCTTCTACAGTTTTACCATTCTAGCGTTCAAATCTGACATATGTGCAATAATTTCTTGATATTTGTGATTTTCATTTATTTAAATTTTGAATTGGTGAATATAGCAGGGATGATGAATTTGATATTGATCTTGAGGACATAATGGTCATGGAAGCAATCTGGCTTTCCATCCAGGTGAGAACTTATGTTTGGTATGTTGTTGTAATAAAATGTCTTTTCAAAGAGAATTTCTCTGCAAAAATGGTTCTCAAATATTAAACTTCTGAACATATGCCATATTCTTTTCGTTGGTGTAAATCAATATGGAATTATTCATTTTTCTGTTTGTGGCTTTGCATTGCTCAAGTGCAGTAATACCTTGATGAGGACAAAGTGCAATTATTTTTTTCCTGAGGAGTGAAATATTTTGTTATCATGTTTGTGTTGCATTCTTTTTTGCCTTTGTTTCTGTAGGGAAGAAAGACACATGTAGCTAATCTGATTGACCTTAGTTGACTGGCTGAGTTGGTCATTCCTAAATAACAATTACTCATGAATTTTGATTTGTAAACAATTGGCTTCAAACTTAGGTCTGCCCATTGCCATTGTTCCTTTTGTCCCTTCAGCCAATAATTTATTCAGTTTTAGGTTGTATTTTAGTCTGGACCTTGCTTATTTTCATTTCATACTTAAAAGGAATGCCCTTAGTTGGCTAGTCGAGGCATTTGACTATTAAATGAAGGCTCTTAAGTGCATCATTGTGTAATATCGATAATCGTTAAGCATGCGGGTGTGATGCACATCGGACTTGTATTTGATCTGTTTCTACAGATTGTGTTGTAAGCTGTAATGTGTCATGTTAAAAACTTAATGCCGTGCTATCCTGCTCGTCCCATAGAAGGGGAACAAGTGTAAGCTGTGAAGTGACAGCATTTAAAGAAAGTAGCTATGTGGGTATTCAAGGTCATCAGATGGCGCTGCCTAAAATTTTTCATATTAAACTTGAGAGGAGCAACAGAGCAATCTTAATTTGTTGATGATTGGTCCTTGCACTTCCAAGTTTATGTACAATCAACTGAGACGAAAGTCTTTATCATGCAATGCTACTCTGTCCCTTTTGTCAGTTTATATTCTCTGCCCCTGTTCTGTCTTCCTTTTAATTACATTATATATCAACTTAGTACCGACGAAAAAAAAAAAATATATATATATATTATACTGCAGGAAAATGGCAGGCAGAGAAATTTATGTTCTCCTTATGCTGCTTCTAGACAATACATAGCTGATGATTGCTATGTTTCATCTGCACCGGGTCCACAGAGCGGATCATCGTCATCCCCATCAGGGGGCCTTGCCTGTGCAATTGCTGCTCTTGCAGAACGTCAGCAAGTTGGGAGCGAATCATCTATGAGCTCCATAGATGGAAATACACCATCTTTCAACATGCTACAAAGAGCCAACGGGTTATATAGCAGGCTGGATAGAGATTCAGTCAGCTATCTTCCGGCAGACAACTTGGATGAGATTCGACCGAAAACTATGGCCATGACTAGGGCTCACGGTGAATGGGGCATGACCGATGTTGCACAGGTGGCTGGTGCAGCAACCAGCTATGGAGGCTCTTTTACCACAGAAGATTATAGTGGCCTTTCTGTATCACAACTTCATGACACTGATGGAAGCGTTGTAAACACCGCAGATCCCATAGTTCCGGAGAGCTTTGAGGAGCAAATGATGCTAGCTATGGCTGTCTCGTTGGCGGAGGCACGAGCCGTGTCAAGTGGACAGGGTTCTTCTTGGCAGTAGGTTTTGTTCATGGGTTGTTTTTGTTTGGTTTTGTTCTATAAATAGAAAGTGATTGCCATGTCTGTTTGGCCAGGCTGAGGCTTGGGTTGAGAGTCTGAGTGAAGTTCACAGTTGTGAAATTTATTGGAGGATCTGCAGGTAATGATTCTCCCACAAGTATATAGAGGTCAATGAAATGATATGATTCTAAATCTAGTTGCCTCATGCCTTTTTCTATGACCGATGTGATGTCCTGCCCTTCCTGCAATATCTTCATTGGGATCCTGTAAATAGTATTCCCCGGCCCAAGTTTCACTTATGCCTGGATGCAAATCTTTACGTAACAGGAAGAAAAGTAGATGGCACGTGATTAAAGATTTTTGGTCTGGGTTTCTGCGAAGCCGACAAAGGCGTTGCTATGGTCAATTTGTATTGTGCCTTCCCCACTTTTCCTCATGCTTGCTCATTTCATTAAGGGTTTAATCCGGTGATGAAGTTTCAAATGAGTTGCGACTTTGCCTCGAACTTGTGTGTTTGTTCATTTCTATTTGAAATATCCGTTTGACATGTCAACTCCATTAAATTTCCAACAGATGATCAATAGAAGATTTTGTTATAAATATTTGAATGAATAGTCTGCGAGATGAGTCTCCTTTTCTCTCCACTTTGCCAATCTTTACCCTTCATTTATTTTATAATTTAAAAAATTATTTAATAAAATAATATGAGTAATGAAAATTGAAAAAGTGAAGAGAAAAGGAGGAGGGAAAAAGGAGAGACCCTCTCCCCGAATAGTCTACCTAGTTAATTTATGATGTTAGATTTTGGAGTTGATAATGTGACATTTTTTCCGGAATACTATGGCTATGATTACGTTGTGTGAGATCTGCCCACAGCAAGCCCTTGTACCCTACTCTCTCCTGTCCCTATTAAAAACATTCTAAACTATTTTACTAGAATTAAAAAATGATAATTAATTTATTAAAAATGTCTTAAAATTAGAAAAAATAACTTTATCTCTATTAAAAATAGGAAGAGAAAAATACATAAACACACGAAGAATTATATTAAATTTATAATAGGGGTAGAAGTAAAAATTAATAATAAATAACATTCCACACACTTTGTATTAAAGATCAAATAATCATTTCTAAAAGATGCTTTATAATATCAACCGAAGGGGAGTACATGAGAGGTGGAAAGTATGATATCACCATTGAGATTATGTTCCTGTTAAGAAAACCAATTAACACATTAATTTGTTTTCTTAGATGACAGTCAGGCTAAGGTCTCAGATTTGGAATTTCTTTGATTGAATTGATCAATGAGTAATTCAAAAGGTGTTCAATGTCTTAATTGAACGAAGGTGAAGACAATAATTCGTCGTATTTATAATCCAGCTTCCTACAGTGTTTTGAAATTATTCCCGCTCTCATGGAGAATAACATTCATTTTAGCATCATTCTTAACAAGAGACTAGAGGAGGGGAGACATATATCATATCAAAATCAAAAGCAAATATTATTGCTCTTCCCAATTCTCCAATCTACATTTTTCACGAAATCGTCCCAGACTTGACAGACACTCAGACCTCCGTCTGTTTTTATCTCCAGTAACATGATCCCAACATAGGAGGAGAGGTAAGTTCATATCTTTTTGGTAATGATAAATCATTATGCTAATAATTTGGATGGGAATGGGATTTTTTTTTTTTTTTCAAAGGAGAATTACTCCTAGCTCCCACACAGCATCCTAAATTACTCCTACAGATTTTATAGTATTTTATGGTGTTTTGCGGGATGTAAGAGTAATTATATATTTTTTAAATGAAAGAAGTATAATTCATATGAACAATGTACAAAAGCAAGTAATTCTGTTAATAGAAATTTAAATTTGAATTTGAGGTTAATCTCTTTCACTAAATTCAACTTCTCAGTGAAACAACTAAGACTTGTTTTTGTTATTTGCAACATTTTTTGATTGCGGAAGACAGTCTTACAAGGCCGTTGTATTCGGGCCTTTATGTGATAGTGGGTGTGGATTGTCATTTTAAACCAAAAAAAGCCGATATAACTCAGAGCTTCTAGCCTGTGGGGTGAGCTCTCTGGGTATTTTTAGGCTAAATAGCAAATGACCGACTTGGAGTCATACCAAAATAAATAAATAAATGACCAACTTGGAGATATTTTGCCCGCTCATGGAAGGTTGGCAAAAAGTTATAATATTAATTGAAAAGCACGTTAATTAAAAAGGTACCGAAATATATGTATCATGTAAAAAAAAAAAAAGTTTTGACTTTTGTCTTTACCTCCTATTTAATGCCAAAGGAAAGAATGCATCTATTTATAAAAATTTAAGAGTGGGTTGAGAAATTTATATTTTTATAACGGATATTTTTTGAACCAAATATTAATTACACTTAAAAATATGTATTATAACTTATATTTAGAGACAAAAGAGATAATAAAAATCAGGATTATATTTCAAAACGGAGGAAGTGAGATGGTAATATTGGGTCCTGAACTAATAATTAGAGCATAATGATTTGAAAATGATGGTATCTGATTTGATATTTCACCGAAAAGGCTATGGAATTGATATAATTCTCTGGTCAATAATAGAGGAACAAATTCTTGAAGGGGTGCTGATGATTGATCTAATTATGATAAATAATAATTAACCCAATTGATTATATATATAAATAAATAGGGATGGCCAGAGTGTGAAGAAAGAAGGGTCAACCAATAATGAGGTCGGGCATGAAGTGGTTGAAGAGATATGGTAAACATTTAAACTTCACATGCATTGTCCCTTTTCTCACAAATTTTATTAAATCTCATCCACATCCCTTCTCTTCTTCTCTTCCTCCTCCACATGCGTCCACCTTCATGACCCTTTGTTGTCTTCCTTGCACGGCCAAAATCATTTTAAATCATTGCTATCACTTTTTTAAAAAATAAAATAAAATTTTACGAGGCCTTCTCCCAATTTGAAAATTCTTTTACGTATATTCCAATCTCCTTAGATAAAAGGTAAAATCATGGATCAATACCTCCAAATATTGTAAGTAACTAATTAGGATCATGAAATCATGAGGCTATATTTTGGTATAATGGTCATTTTCTTCGTTATAAAAACAATACTTTGACTAAAATACAATATTGGTAACTAAATTTGTAAATCTGAGAATAAAAAATTTTAAAAAATTAATCTTTTAATCTTTGTAGTTTTAACTTAATTGTAACTCAATTTTTAAATTTTGACTCATTATAACTCAATTTTTAAAGTTTTAATTCAATTGTAAATTGATCCATGAATTTTGTATCTTATAATTTAATCCCCAAAGTCTTAACATATTAAATATTGATCATTGTATTTTAAAAATAATATTAAAAATATTTTAAAATTCACTAGTAATATTTTAAATCATTAAATACTTTTAATCTTTATAAATATTATAAATATTAAAAATTTAAAATATTTTTAATATTTTAAATTTTATTTTTTAAAATATAGGGATCAATATGTAAGAGGTTAAAACTTCAGGAATTAAATTGTAAGAAATAAAGTTTAGGAACTAATTTATAATTGAGACAAAACTTCAGAGACTAAGTTATAACGAGTTACAGTTGAAGAATTAAATTACAATTATATTAAAATTATAAGGATCAAATGATTAATTTTTTTAAAAATTTTCAACTCAGATAAAGTGATTCATAATCTTTTTAACTAAATTTCCAATCCAAATAAAAATCATTTCAACACTAACTAATTTTAATTTGGCATTTCGAATAAAGGCATTTTAGGCAAAGTATTTTCTTAAAAGCCACAAAAGGACCTTGATCTTAAAATTTAATTTCATAAATTTGTGCTGGTTGGTTATTTGCAATATCCAAAAATTCTTATTTGTGATTTTTTTTCTGCATAAAATCTAGAAAAATTTTCAACTTTAAATTTGAATTCCACTAAACGATAAGATCATACATTGCACGAAGCCTGATATAGTGTAATTTCTTGTAAATAGGGTTTTAGTAAGAAGTGTACAAGTGGTTTATATATATTTTGAATATTTGTTATTTTAATGATTAGCAGCTAGATAAACTTAAAAGTCGTATACACTCTTATAAAAAAAAAAAATGAGAGCAACATGTTTAGATAAGGACAAGAAAAACTGAAAATTCAAAGCCACTCTACAAATGAGTCCTAGAATTTGGGTTGGCATACAGTGCGCTGTTTGATTATTGTACTTCAAATGTGTGGCCCCACAACTTGGGTCCTGCATCTTAGATTATGGACAATACTGTATGGCTCTACCTAGGGACACATTTTATTTAGATAAAAAAAATCATCTTCTCTGAAGAAAATGTAATGCCAATTCAGGGACTTTAATTCCGTCAATTCTGAATTCAAACTCTCGAATTGCTTGATTGGAATAGTGCCATAAATGTTACAAGGTAGTAGGTGGACTTAAGGTAAAAGCATCTAGTTAGGCATACATGTTCTGTATTATTATTATATTGTATGTTTCATAGTCTGATTTCTCATAATATATTATACATCTATGTGCACCTTAGAATTTGGATATAAGATTCGTAGGATCATCAAGATTTAATTCTTGTCGAGTATCTTTATTTTTAATTGATTGTGTTGTACAACAAAATAAATCTCATGGTCAAATAGACATTAAGAAAATATGAATCAATTCCTCAAGCTTCAGAGTTTTTCCATGGCTACAACATTGCTGTGCTGTCATTTATCCCCTGAAATTACATGCTTAATTAGCTAGCTCGAGTTAATCAATATTACTATATAGAACTCATTCTTAGATGATTCTGGTGTCAGGCACGTGGACAATATTAGTTGACAGAATTTGTGAAGGCTGATGAAATGTTCATTGTCCTGAACTCTCAATCTTGAAGACATTAAATTATTAAGGCTTAATTTCACTGACATAGTTTGTTTGTTTTTTTAAAACAAGAAAAGTTTAAACTTCAGAAGCATGCAGCCAGCTTTGGTATAAAACAAGAGGAAAATGTTAAATTAATAAATATTCGGAGGAAAAGGTTTTGAATTTTGGAAAGAGACAAAAAGAAAATAAAAGCAGCTCTACTATACTAGTGTGCGAGATACAGGTTGGATTTCCAAGTTAACATTTCACATTTAATTATTGAGTGTTTTTCACTCAAAATTACCCTTTTGTCCTCTTCCTCTTCCGGTTCTTGAACCTCATTAATAGCAAGCCCCTACTCTCACAGCTTCATTTCAAAATCTTTCAAATTTCACTCTCTTCTTCTCTCTATTTTCTAAGACTGTTTCTCTATCCAGCTACTGTGTTCTTCTGGGCATTCCATTCCCATTTCTTCTTCTTCTTTTCTTCTTCTTGTCTCAACTCTCGAATTACATATAACCATTTGGAGTCTTCAAGCTCACAAGCTAACTCCATTGTTCTGTCTCCGCAGATACAGTCATAAAGGTGAGAACTTTACACTATACCCTGATTGTTCTTCAGGCTTGTTAGTATTGGACTCGCTTTCAGATCTCCAGCTTATGACCTCGGCTCACATGTAATCGTTCTGTTGTTTGCTGCTTCTTTTGGGAAAGAATGGGCTGTCTTTTGCGTTTGAATCTCGTTTTTTAGGTGTAAAAGTTTCATGACCCTTGCATTTTCTTTTCGTTTTCCCACACTTTTTCGCGCCAACCAAACGCACTCTTGAACACAGTCGATGAATCAACATCATCTCAAGATCCACTCGACCCCCAGAAAATGGAATCGCTCCATTTCTTTTCTGCAGTCTTGACCATTGTCTTTTGAATCTCTTTTATTACTCGTCTTTACTCTCTCTCTCTCTCTCTCTGTCCACACACACTCTCTCCTACTTTTTAAAGTTCATACCTTTCAAATGTAACTTTTTTTTTTCACTCTTGTAATATTTTTTTAACTTCTCTAAAAGTCGATAATTATTAAGAAACTAAACAAGAACGGTTACACTTCAAGCGATTACCTTTAAGAATCATTATTCTTCATATTTTATTGCGTTCTATTTGACACTGTTTTTATGCTTCACGGTTTTTTTCAGTGATTTTGTTCTCCATATGTTTTTTCGAGACTTTGATGGGACGCAACCTTTCTGAGCAAATTGATAAGTTTGATACTGTCGTACTGATATAATAAGATATGCATACTTCTACTTTATTTTTGTCCATTTTTTTAGCAAAGCATATGCTAGTGCGTTATTATTTATTGGATTGATATGCTTTTTTCGTCTTCAAGGACAATATGTATGCATGCGTATCTGCTTTAACTTTATCTACCCCAGCTTCGCAGGTCTCACACATTCAATGCTTCTGAATGCGATTCATTAAATATTTATTTTCTGTTTTTAAATAAAGCCTCACACAATTCTACTCACTATTATGCACTTAGAATCTTAAATTCAGGTTACAAGGTGTCTCGATAACCCAGTATATTCTGTGTGAAAAATCTAATGCAAAAAAAGATGCAGTAGCAAATGAAGAATCAGTAATTCGCTATCCTCTGTCTCAGACATACAAGATTACACTCTTTTTTAAGTTCAGAGAAAATATGGCCTTTTGTCTTTCTTTTCTTTTCTTTTTTTTTGTTTTAATGATTTGTGGTATCAACTTCACTACATGTTTTTGACCTTTCAGAGAATCATATGCTGTGCAGTTAGAGAAAAGTAGTTTACATAGCACAGTTGGAGAGAACATTTGTTTAAAAAAAAAAAAAGTAAAAGGGGCAAACAATTTAAGGAAATGATATATCACCATACCCTCTGTTAGTTGTCATTTCAAGAAATGTAAATATGTATAGATATATATTGATATTTGAAATCTTACAATAATTGTGTTACCTACAACATTCCACTTGTCCTTTATCACCAAGTTACATTGATCCAGTAACTTCTCTAGCTACTGATTCTCCTGAGGTTGTTCAAATTACAATCATTCATGTTTCTTCCCATGTTTTGGTAACAGAACTACTAAAATTTTTACTGCATCTAGGTGCATTAATGATTGTTTTTCTGTCGTGAGTCCATGCCCACTTGAACCAACTATCTCAACTGATTCATTACCTAGAAATCATGGTAAAAGGTTATCAAATCAGGCAGTAAAAAAGGGGCAACTTTTACAACTTTGCTAGCAGAATCAGTTTGCCCATGTGAATCTGGTTCATTCGCACTTCACTGTGTGCAAAATTACTGCTTGAATTACTTCTTTATTTTCCATTGATGATGGGACCATTCTTCATATATTTGCGACTGATGATGGACCAGTCACTTTCAACAATATATATGTAGAAAGAGAGAGGCAAAATGTACAGCTCTTGAATATTTTAACTGAGAAAAAAGTAAATGAGTAAAGTGGAATCTCTGGGCTCTGCATTCTCTGCTCCTGGCATTAATATTAAAGGTGCACTTTTGGCTTGCCATTGTTGGAACGCAGGACCTGTGTGATGTGGGGTTCCTTTACTTTTATTCATCTGTTTTTTCCCCCTTCTTGATATTTTCAGATCACACGTCTTTCCTGATTCTAGATAAGTTTTTGATATCTTGGGTTTGAATCAATTCTCTTTTTAGTTTAATAGTCACTTCTTTAGTGAGGTGGCTCCTTCATGATATTGAAAGTTTGATGCTATAAATATATTTTTAAATTAAAAGTTCATTGGCGAATGGTGTTTTTTTTTTTTTCTCTTTTTAATATCTCGTGACATTTCTGGAGATCTGAAAAGGCAGATTCTGTTCAAGGGAGTTATATTTACTTGCTCGCTTATCTTCTCCATTCGAACTTCATATTTGTTTCTTTCATCTTTTATCAGGTAAAAAGTTTTGAGAACAAATTCTTGGAAGTTTCTGTTCTGTGATATTCATACCGATCATATCAAATGCCAAGATCAAGGTATGATGATAAGATAACCTTATCCATAAGCATCATTAAGCTCTACTTCGATTTTTGTCCCCAAACTTGTTACTTTTCTGTTCTGATGTCTATGGTTGCTAATAAGTTCAGTTTCATCCCCATTTCTCTGTCCTTGAACTCCAGAGATTGGCTTTCTTAAATATGAAACTGAGGAATTTATAAATATGAATTACCGGATAGTTTTGAGCTTGATTGCCACGAGTTGATGAAGCTTCATTGATATTAATATATAGGGGATCAGATCTGCCACAGAGGCAATCTCCTAGAGGTCCACATCAGCTTCGGACGTCCAGTGCTGACTCTGATACGCATCAGCATCACCGACCAATCACAGATCGAAGCCCAAAGCTAGCAGGAGACCGACGATCTCCAAGAGTCACTCCTCAATCCGACACAGTCAATCAGAAGAAGCTAGGCACTCGCATTGCTGACTTGGAATCCCAACTTGGTCAAGCACAAGAGGAATTGAAGCTTCTAAAGGACCAGCTTGCTTCAGCTGAAGCTGCTAAGAAAGAAGCTCAACAAGAGCTAGACAAGAAAGTGGAGAAACCTCCCTCTTCTAAGAATGTTGTAGAATCTGACAAAACTGAAATCACAGTGCCCCAAGATGATAATAACAACCAAGAGACTGATGTTTTTGAAGTCCCAGTTGATAAAGAAGCTTTCGAAAAGTCCGCTCCTTTAGCAATGTCAGAGCCAGAGAAGCCATCCATGGAGGATCTGACACAGAAGAAAGATGAAGTGATTACAGAGTTGAAGTCCAAGATGGAGGAGAAAGAAAAGGAGACGGAGTTATTGAGTAAAGAAAACGAGGATCTGAAGAACCAACTGAAAGAAGCAAAATCTAAACTATCAGCTGCAGAAACCAAGGAGGAAGAAATGATCTTGAGAGTGAGGCAACTGGGGGAAGAACTGGAAGCAAGTAAAGCGAACGGAGATAAGTTGAGTGAGAAGTTGAAGTGCGTGGAAGCAGAAAAGGGGGCATTGGAGACAGAGATGAAGAAGCTGAGGGTTCAGACTGATCAATGGAGAAAAGCAGCAGATGCTGCAGCTGCTGTTCTTGCTGGGGGAGCGGACATGAATCCTCGTATTTCTGAAAGGTGTGGTTCCATGGATAAGCATTTTGGAGGCATATTTGAGACCCCTGGCGGGTACAATAACAATGGAGGATTCATAGTGTCACCTGGTATTTGTGAGGATCTGGAGGATGGGTTTGGAAGTAGCAAGAAGAAGGCCTCAGGGATCAGAATGTTTGGTGACTTGTGGAAGAAGAAAGGCCAAAAGTGATCTTCCATTCACTATATTCAATTAGGATTTTAGATCCTCCGTGTTTCTCGAAAAGTTTTCAATGTCGATTTTCTCTCTCGAAATGCATGCCTCATTCCCCCAGGCATTCTGTTCTTTTATCTCTGAAATTGACACTGTCAATTGTTTTGAGAAGTCGGGGAAGGTTTGGGATGTGCTGGATTGGTAAGAAAGAGTGGTGAACAGTTTGCTGACTGTTCTGAATCTTTCTCAGGTATTTTGTGTAGCTAATATTTAGAATTTAGAATCATTGTGCATGTAATCAGAATTCCATGGCCTGTGAGTGAGAGATTGAACTCCTGAAGAATGTTACAATATGATGTTTTGTTCTGGGCCTTGATGTAAGCACAAAACTGCCCTCGATCTATATTGGTGAATGGTGAGACTGGGCCAAAAAAAAAAAAAATTGGAGAGTGCTCATAATGTTGCTCCTGGTGTTAAAAATAGAAAAATCAAGATCAACAGGTTTGGTCTAGTTAAAAATACTAATTCTTTGTAATGTAACGAATCAATGTTCGTATTCATGGTGCTTGCATAATGTTTGATCATCTCAAATAAAAGATTGTTTTCAATAAAATAAAACATGTGAATAAAAAAAATAGAAAAATCAGATGGGATGTGAGAATATTCGTTTCAAATATAATAAAATTAAGGCATGGTGTTATTTAACTAGAAAAACAAGTTTACAGAAGAACAAAGTAGCATATTTTAGATTGAAGTGTGCTTTGAAAGTAGAGTTGATAATTTAAGTTAAGCTTGACGAGTTATTTCAAATTCGTTTGAAAAAATTTATGATTGAGCTTAGAAAAAATATGATTTTTTTTTAATGCTTAAGTTTATTTGCGCTGTTGAAAAAATTTGGGCTAAGTTTGATTAGGTTCGAGCTTGGCCCAAACACCTGAATAAAAGTTGTTATTTTTACAAAATATGTAAAATATAATGAGTATTAATTAATTTTTTAAATTTTAGGACGTTTGATGCTAAAATATCAAGTGTTTAAGTCTTATACATCATTTAAATATTAAAAATATGTATTTTATATTTTTTATAAAATAAAAATTAATTTTAAAATAAAATTCAAATATTCAAATTTTTTAACTATTTGAAGTTATTTAGCCTTTTTAGGTATTCAGGCCTATTCAAGTTAAATTCAAATAGACTTGACCTACCTAAATTTTTAACACTATTTAAAAGTAATGTGAGTTAGACAATAGAGAAAGATAAGGGGAGTCATTTTCTATGTTACATGCTACTAAGTATTTCATTTTGTGTGTATGTATTGGTCCAGCATTTCGTATGTATCATTCGAAGCACCATTGATTCATGTTATGCAGTAAAGCAGGTGAGTTGGTTTCGAACCCAAAAGGAAATAATGTCTCATCGTGGAGCTGATGTTGTTATTGCTGCTTCATCATTTCATATCCCTTTTAATCATTTTAATATATTTAAAAATTACTGAAAGCCGAACTGTTTAGTGCAAAGCACGGGGCCAAAATCTAATTTAATAAAAAAATGGGAATGGACAAGAGTTGTAGAATTGTAAATATGTTGATTTGGGCTAACCAAATGGCAAGTCTGTTTCAAGGTTTTGGTTAAATTCAGCCAGGCTAATAAGTTACATTAGGGGATTGGATGACTTTTTTTATTAAAAAATAATAAAATCCACCCAGACGTGATGGGCTAGAGGGCCAATAAGACTAAATTGGGATACTACTTCTACAATTTTGACCAGTACGGCCCAATTTTCAAAAACTTGGATAGACGCCTCACAAGATTTTTTTTTTTGGGAATGGAAATGAATATTCTCATTAATATGAAAAATACTTACAAAGATAAGCAAAAATAGAAAATCACCCCTGATTGTCCACCACCTCTTCACAAGATAGAAGACTAGCTATTTGAACTCTCCAAAGATATTTATGGGTGATCTAGCAATCTATTTAGTACTGTTGATTCAAAAAGAAAAAAAAATAAGTTTTACTCTTTACTTTTTTTTCTCTCAATTTTCAATTCATTTTCTAATAACTTATAATGACTAAATACTTGTAATTTATTTACTTAAAGATTTATAGGAGACAAGTAATTTTAAATCAATAAACTATAAAAATTGAATTGTTTTAGATAAAATTATAAAAATTAAATTGTTTTAAGTCAAAGTTTAAATAACCGGAGCCAATGATTAAAAGTAATTTTTTTCCAAAAAAAAAAAAGTCATGTGGGTGATCAACTAAAAAGATAGCATGATGATGTACTTATTATAAAATATATTGAAGTACGATGAATCCAAGGCAGCAAAGAGGCTCCCCTCTCCCCAAACTTCAATGATCCTTTTAAAAAGAAAAAAAAATTAAAAAATTTGCTTTTAAAAAACATTAAAATAGATTGTGGCCCCCACTTCACGTTTAATTTTCATTTTAGCTCCCCATTTATTAGTTCTTCAATTTGTCCAGAAAATATGATCAGTAATTTGTAGATTGATAGAATATGGAGGTAAAGAAGCAACCTATTTAAGAATGGATTCTTATCCTTAGTGTGTGTGTGTGTGTGTGGAGAGAGAGAGCGTCTTATCCATAGAAGAAGGGTCCCTCCGTGTGTGGGGGGGGGGGGGGGGGAGAGAAAGAAGGGCTTGGAGAGAGGAAGAGATTGGATGAGAGGAGTCGCTATCAAGCAGGAGGGAAGCAGTTACTATTAACAGAACATGTGCCCTCTATATCTCATGTTGAAATGATGAAATCCTTCCTATTCGGTCAAACCGATCTTCCTGATGTGATCCTTCTCTGCATATATATTCACTTCCATTTTGCTTCTACCGTCTTTGCCCCTTGCTCTTCACCTCTTTTTATCCACTAGCTAGTCCCCGTCTACTCTTCATTACTTTTTCATGTTCATGTCACCTCATATCATTCCTCCGCTTTTCAATTTCTTGCCCAAAATCGAGCCTTTCCAACCGCATATTACAGACCTTTTCCTGGAATACACATCATACATAATCACTTTAAGATTATCTTCCAAATATTAATTTTGCTAAAAATTTGTACGAAATTATTGAAAGAAAATACTTGCATTGAAGTTGATACTTTAGTTGCTCAAAATTTTTTCTTAGTACTATAATAACATTGAAACCTAATAAAACTACTCCAAGATTAGGCTTTTTTCCCCGTGTCCTAGTTCCAGTGCTAATTGGCATGTAAAGAGATGTGCTGCATAATTTACACCATGACAAAGAAAAGCCCCACTTCCTATCAATTTCCTTCCTGAAACTTTATCTTATCGTATCTCACTTTTATTCAAAAAAATCATCACGACGCGTAGGAATACATATGATATATGAATCAAGGGAAATGAATCTGCATGAAAAGGTTGTTTGCCTCCCCCAAAAGATACCAACAAAGCTCAATATACATTTCTCTACGTACATTCAAAAAAAAAAAAAGAAGTAAATATGTATCTCTTTGAGAAATTAAAAGAAAAAAGATTATTAATAAAAAGTATATTCAATTCTGAATTTTTATATGTATCCCATAGTCTTATTCTTATCACTTAAGCTAGTTTCACACGTTGATGGAGGATGGTGTTCGGGCATCTAAGGCACATGTAGCTTCTTGCGTGCCTCGTCATTCTTAAAAGGATGATGACAAGTCCCCCTTTTTGTATTTTGGGCTCACTGCAACAAAGATCCATACTTTCTTCCACCTCCTTTCTTTCTTCCTTATCCTAACATTGCAATGGTCCCTCTACACACATCCATGAGCCCACACTGATCCCCTCATCAATTCCATGCGCTTCCTTCCTCTCTCATCCCTCTCTTTGTGTTATTCATTTAAAAAGTATAAACCTTTCCTGATAACCTCTTTAACAGAACGATTGTGCAGTAAAAAACTCGTCGGTAGATATAGATCAAAGCCACTTCCTTGGTCTTCACGCTTTTCAGGATTCTTAATGATTAATGAAGTTGAAGTTAAGTGTCCATTATTTAGGATAAGTTGATAAAAGTTGGATAGATAAAATGGAAAAAAAAAAGTAATTGAAGAGACAAATGCTTTTAAATCACGCACTAACATTACATAACATATTTTTTTAAGCACTTTTTTATTTCTTTCTTGTCATTCCTGACTATCGAACTAGCCTAAATTGAAAACAGGGTGTCATTGACTGCAAAAAGGTTCAGAGATGAGTATGAACCCGAAAAGAACGAAATTCAAAACATTACTATTCTATCTATCTGACTCGTTTTGACTACTCCACAGTGAACTTTGAAGTTCCAGAAGAAAACATTTAACAAAAAAGAAAAACCCACTACATACATTACATATATATATATATATATATATATATGTTGACAAGTGCTTCCCAACTAGTTCTGATTCTTTTTGTTATTATGAGGCTGCGATTCTCTCAAAGTGGCCGAGCCTGTTGTCAGCCAGTCTCGTCCCATAGGCCGAGTTCTTGTACTCGAACCACGTAAATTCCTTGTACAAGCTTTCCTTGCCTGTCAATATGAGAGAAGGCAAAGGAGCTATCTTCTGGTTCAATGGAGGGCCACCGAAGTAGATCATGGAGAGTCTGGATTTGAACCCGTTTGCCAAAACTCTGTGCTTTACGCTCTTGAACCTCCCGTTCGTCATAACCTATGTGCACCGACCAAACCCCACAAAAACAATAACGCGTTAGTCTAGTCCAGTGTTCCTTGTCACTCTTATATTAATTAATCTGAAGCCAAAGCCAAAAAGCTTTTGACCACTGTATGTAACAGTTCAGCTTTTATTTTATTATTATTATTTTTTATGATTTTCCCGAGTCCGCTAAAAGGTGCAGTTTAATTTCACTCACTATCTTATCCATTCAAACAGGGGATTCTGTGATTTGTTTTATCCCCATTTGGCATCAAGTAGCCTTTTTTTTCTTTCCTGCCTTGAATTCGTTTGACTTGAATATATATATATATATATATATATTTTATAGTTTTACGACAGTGTGTTGGTTTGGCTGAGTTTCTACCTGGAGAGAGTCACCGACATTGACGAAGAAGGAGGTTTCATCGGGAGGGACAGAAACCCAAGTGCCGTCTCTTAGAGAAATTTGGAGGCCTGAAGTGTTGTTGGATCTCAGAAGGGCGATGATTTGTGGGTCCGTGTGTTCTCCGAATCCAATTTTGTTCTCTGTAGTATCATCGTCAACACCATTTGTGGCTAGCTCAGGGCAGGGAGGGTAATGGTTGAGCCTGAAAACAGAGTCACTCTGTTTATCCATCACGAGTCTGCTAAGCACATTCCTCGGCTGAATATTCAACCCTTCAGCCATCAAATCCAGGATCTCGCACGCCATCTTCCTCACGGCCGTGACATAGTCCTTCAACGCAGACCTACAATATTACCAAGTTTAGGACAAGACCCAGGATTTTGTTATTGAATCAAAGTGAAGATTCTTGGATTCATGTACCTGAAAACTTCTGGGTCTTTGCCGGAAAGAGAGGAGAGTTTGAGGGAATTGTAATCCTGATTGATTGTGAGAAGAAGGTATTCGACCCAACCGATGTCACCGTTGCGTCCGATGTGTTTGTTACCGTAGCCAAAAGGATTAGCAGGTCCTGCTTTTTGCTTCTCATGGAGGGGAAGAGAGAAGAAATTGGCAGCTTCGGATTCTAATTTGGAAATGGCATCCACGGGGACGCCGTGATTGACGACCTTGAAGAAACCAAAGTCCTCGCAAGCTTTGACTATGAGGGATTTGGCATCGGGTTTGGAGAGGTCTACGAGAGGGATGGTGGACAGGAATGTGGGTGCTGGTTTGGAGTTTCGTAGGTACGAGTATTTCTCGGAGTTTGCTTTGGACAAGACCACCATTTTTGTTTTGTGTGGTTCGGTTGTTTTGCTCTGCAGAATCTGATGTTGCTGCGGTTTTGGATGGTAACAAGCAAACTACATGAAGAGAGAGAGAGTGGGGGAGGAAGAGAGTTTGGGAAGGAAATCGAAGAGCTGATAAGGCTATGAAGAGAGAGCTTGAGGAAAGCGGTAGGGGGTCTTGGGGGTATTTATAGCTACAGATGGTGGGCATGACGAAGACGAAGACCAAGGTGAAACAAGGGGCGTTTTATGTCTACTCTTTTGAATTACTCCCTCTAATTTTATATATAAAATATTTTTAATTAAATTTTACATATAAATTTTTTTATTATTTAATTAAATTTATATAAAAATATAATTATATATCAATTTTATGTATAATAATATTATAATTAATATTATAATGATAGTAAAAAAACATATAATTAATAGTTTGTTTTATTTTTAATATAAAAATAAAATTATTTAATTATTAAATATCATCATCACCTTTTATATTTAAAAATAAAATAAATTTTTAAAAAATACTTTACATGTGGGGATGGTGGGAGTAATTGTTTTCTCTTTCTTCACACGTTCATAAATTAATGCATTGCCACATCTGATCAATATAAAACCAGGAATGACATTGAAAGGCTACAAATTGAATTAAATTTAAATTAAGACTAAAATATGTGAAGATCAGCGATCAGGAATTGGGACTGAGACCGAGATTTTTTTGGTTATTTCGTATGAATATTTATTACTTTTGTTTCATACTCAATCCTATATATCCGGTAAAAAAAAGTCCTATATATAAAATAAAGGGAAAAGAATTTATTCTTCTTCATTTGGTAAATTTTTTTTTCTATTTATAACTTATATCATTAAATTTTTATTACAAATTTCTTCATTTATTCTCCATCAAATATTGATGAAAAAAATTTATTTTTAAAGTATGTATATTAAATGAGGATAAATTTAAAAAATTATTAATTTTAGGCATAATTAATGAGTTTTAAAATTTTTTTTATTTAATTGAAATATTCTGAAAGTGACTTATGAATATGATCAAATAATTAATTTGCAGTCATTGAAACAATAATTTGCTCATAAAATTTGATAACTTATAAAAGAAAAACTTGTTAAACATAATATCACTTTCATTATAAAAAGATATACTCTCTCCTTCCTAAATTATAGGACACTTTTGAAGGAGTTTCTTCATCCTAAAATATAAAGTACTTTGAATAGACTAAGGTTTCATTAAATGTGTCAATTTTAATATTATCCTTTCTCTCTCGATAATTAATTTTCATTTCTTCTCTTTTTAATATATTAAATGATGGGTATTTTTAAAATTTTATATTTTTATTTTAGAAAGATAAGGTTGTTATATGTATTTAATGAGATTTAATAATATGTAAAATTTTATTTAAAAAATTTCTCATAATTTAGGACAAAGGAAGTAGTATACATGATATATTTGACTAGTAAAATCCCTAGTTTTTTCTGTGTTTTAAAAAAGTACTTTCATTTCAGGCCAAAAAAAAGTATCTTTTTATATTTTTAATAAAATATAAAAAAGATATTTTATATTAGTTCAAGCTAACCGTTCACATTGTCTCCTCATCATTCTCTCTCCTAAATTTTTTAATAAATAAATATAAGTGAATTGGATAAACTCATCAAAGTCAGGACATGTCTCAAGATTTAAAGAGCGTCCACAAATGTAGTTGCAAATAACTTACTACTAAATTTTTGTATTAGTAATGAGATTTAATCCTATAACATCGCTAGTTATAAATCAACTTTATACCAATTAGAGTAACCTTTATTAGCGTTCTCTCTTATATTCTCTAATGGATGCAAATCTTTTGAAAAGCAACCTCAAAAATTTGAGCATGTGAAAGTACTAGAGCTTGATACATTGGCATTTTGTAGGGTGGTAATTCGGGCGGGTCGAGCTTATTCTAGTCAAGCTCAATTTGGGTAGGACTTATTTGGATCGGGCTTAAAGAATCCTACTCTTTCTAAAAAGCCCATATAACCAAATCCGGCCCTAACACCTTGGGGCTTCGGGCTTATTTAGGCCTGTCCGAATACCCAAAACGTTTTTTAAAATATTTTTTATTTTTTAATCAATTTTAATTTTTAAATAATTTTATTAAGCATAACATATTATTTTAACTTGAAAAGAATAAAAAATAATGAATTATTAACTTTATAGTTAAGTATTTAAGTAGCTCTGTTACTGTTTTGTTGTATTATGTGCAATTTATTCATAAATATTTTCTTTACTTGTAAATTAATGTCTTATTTATTTAAATATTACCCTTATCATGGTTATATAAAAATATTTATATATTTTAATTGAATCATATTATTTTAATCATGATCAAGTTAATCTCAATTCAACTATGGTTAGATCACTAAATTAAAATTATTTTTCTGATTAGTTTAAAGTTTTTAATAACTATTGAATAAACTATACTTTTTATTTTTAAGAATATGAGAAAAATAATCACCATTATATTATATAAAATAAAATTATTTAATTATGGGTAAAATATTATTTTTTTGAATTTTTTTCTTTAACCTTTTTATATTGTGTAAGTCCTATATATAAAGGGTATTTACTTTAGTTCATTCTTAATTTTTAACTAAGTCTGACATGGATGATAATCAAATAATTATCTAAAAATATTATTTTATTTATTATGTTTGTTTAGTAGTAGAGCCAAAAATTCGTATATGTCTAAATTTTATTTTTAAAGTTATTTTTAATTTAAATTAATTATCTTATTTTATAAAAAATATAAAATATAATTTTTTGGACAAGAAAATGGTGTATATGAATTGAGTCTTAAAATATAAAAATTAATATTAAAACATATTTTATTATTATTTTGAGATATTTTATTTGATTAAAAATAATAAAAATGGGAAAATATAAATATTTTTATTTTTTTAAATAACTATAATAATACACTCGAATATATGGTATTTTAAAATAAAATAATATAAAACTTAAAAATAATTAATATTTATTATATTATATATATTTTTTAAATTTTTTCTATTCGGGTATTCGGGCCAAGCCCGAACAATGGGGCTTGGCCCAAATTTTCTTAGGCCTCTTCGGGTGGCCCGAATAGGTCCAAACAATAAAAAATAATTTTTTTTGAGCTCAAGCCTAAATTTTTCGGACGAATTTGGGTTGGCTCGTAGTTTGGTCTAAATTATCGGCTCTAGTATTTTGTGTTGTTTAATCCCCTGAAGAGGATATTGGAGAGAGTGGATATTAAAATATTTGAACGTACAAGAAATATGTACTTCTTTGATCCTATATATTTATAAGTTAATTTTAATATATTTTATTAAAACTTAAAAAACTTAAAGTTTATTAACTATATCTAAAAATTTAGTAATTAAATTTTTAATTTTGTTCATATTAAATGCTTATAATATATTACTTTATTTGACTATCATTTAATGGAGAATAAAAAAATTAATATAAAAAATTAATCACATGGCTTATAAATAAGATTAAAAAATTTGTTCTCTCAACCTTATAAATAAAAGTTAAATGGGTATATATATAGAGAAACTCATAATATTCACAAATAATATATATTTAGTTTGATTTTATTTAAAAATAAATAATTTGGATACACCTTTTACACACGAGTTAAAATATTATTAAATAAAGCTTAATACATGAGGACACTGGTTTTTGTTATTGGGGGATAATACCATAAATTAAGTAAACCAAATATTGTAAAAAAAATTATCTGAATTTATCTCTTAAGTAAGAGCACGTCTTAGCTCAGTCCATTGTGGCTTCTCTGAATCTTATCATGAGCCCCCCTCCTTGACAAAAAGAAACTTTATCCTCAACGAACCAGGAAAATTCAGGTGTGTTATTAATTAAGGCAAAGGGAAATCTAATACTAAAGCCCAAAGTGGAGTGGTTTATCTAATTATATTCCCCTTTATGAGTTACCCATCTTTATAAAATGGAATGGCCATCACAATCCTTGCTGAAACTTGAAAGGCAGTCCAGTCATCACCTACCTTAGTATTATTAACTTAGATTTCCTTCCACTAAAATATACACACGATCCCCTTATGATTTATATCATTCAAAAGGACTTGTCACATCACCTAGATTCCTTTGATCCATGCCCCTTTTTGTTCTTCTTTTTCCTTTTTATTTATTTATTTTTACTGTTCTCATTGCTGCCCAATTCCTCCAGCGCTCATCCAAAACAGGAATAAAGGTGTCATTTTTATAAGTTAAATTGTAGGGGAAGATGATGAATTTTATGCTTTTGAATTTTGGAGATGCAAATTCAATTGAAACTTGGTTTCTTGCAAGAGCAGAGGTAACAGGAGAGAATGGCAGATATAGAGGATCAAGGCATTCACTTTTTGAAGCAACAATGTGCCCATGGCTTCATAAGCATAAATGGAAACACTGCTATTTGAAGTAAAATAAAGGACATTACTATAACTTTATTGAGGTACGTTCCCCTTCGTCCAAGAATCTGGATTCCTATTCATCCAAATCTTAGGTTTCCCAAAATAGTAGGGTAGGGATATGTCAAGATCGTGCCCATTTCTTGTTAAGTTTGATCTTTCTCGCAATAATTCAATTAAATTCCAAATCACCTTTTAATCCTCATTCATCAGTTAGCACCACCAATTATATTTAACTTTTCTCTCCTCTTTTTCATATCTTCCAAAAAAAAAGTTTAAGTTAATAAAAAGTTTTTCATTCCGAGGCACATATTATTAATAGATTAGAGTAAAACATCCATAATTAAAGTGTTCGGGTTACCATTCCAAAAGCATGTGTTTTGCAAGGGTTGAACGCATGGGCAGAGACGCAGAGTCATATGGCGGTGAGAGAGGCAAACGAGCTGCCTTACTTTAAGAAAAATCATAAATCTGATTGGCATGTTTTAATATTTTACATTCATATATATTATTAAAATTTTGAACTACTGGACCTTAAATTTCAATATTTTACACACCCTGTCATCTACCTAGTGGTTTTGGCTCTGTCAATGGCTGAATGCTGGCCACCCAAACATGCTTTAAGCTGTCACTCATGCATGCAGAGACAAACAAGGTCATATTCCTTATAAATAGACATAATGAACACCATTTTAGACATA